CTCAGTGGCTCTTTACATCTTGACAATCTGAGATGCGCACTCTGCATCCCAAATTACCAACGAAATCTACTTCTCCCATTTTTTTTTCTTCCTTGGTGCTGAAGGAGACAAAGGGACCTTTGCTGCTGTTTGGCACCACCTGGGGTTCGTTGCCTGCGGTGATGGATGGGTGCGGGCACACCTGGGGCACCAACAGCATTCCTGCCATAGGATGACTTGAGGTGCATTGGGATGGCTTCAGGATGGCTGTCCCTGCCTGTTCTGCCCTGCAAGAGCAGCAGTGCAGGCAGCAGAATGAGCTGTGGATGCGCTGTCTCATTGCCTGGGGCAATGCCATATGGCTCTCGTTATGGTAATTCGGTCTCCAGCAGCAGATGAGCTCTGCATACCTCCCAGGGGTGTCCCTCAGCCTCTGTGGGCACACAGCAGGGCAGGGGGCTGTTCTCTGACCCGGGATGAACCCTGTGTCCTGGCAACGCTGCTGCATCCTTCCTGCAGTGCTCAGAGCCTGGCTTTGGGCACACCCTGCAGGAATTCCCTGTTGGAGTGCATGCAGGCAGCTCTGCGAAGCCTCTCCTGTTCCTGCATGGAATTGCACTTCCACGTGGCTGTGAATGCCATTCTGCTTTCTGTCCATGTTCAGCTCTCTCATATGGGTCGCAGTCCTTCAGCTCATCCTTCCCAGGGCAGGAGGTGTTTGCTGCTGGAGGATACCAGCAGCTCCGCCTTCTCCTGGCTCCTATCCAGACAATGGGGTTTTATCAAAGCCACCCTGTTTGGCTTTGTTGTGTTAGAGATGGAGCTGGGTTTTCCGGCCCAGTTTCATGTGTGGCTGGGCTGTTGATGGTCTGATTTCTGGGTGGTGCTGTGTGTAGCTAGGAGTTGGGCTCGGTGACCCCTATGATCCCTTCCAACTTTGGATATCCTGTGATTCCATGATTTATAGCCATCCTACTCGTGTTTGCCTGATGGGATCCAAGGATGTTCCCTGGGCACGAGGAACCCAGCGCACACCTATGTTTTTGGGGGCAAGGGGAGGTTCTTTCCCTCCCACCTTCTCCCAGCTCCCCCTCCCCATGCTGCCCACACCCATCCCTCAGCATGGCCATTCCCACATATCCAATCTCCTTAATATTCTTTTCCCTCTGATCCCCTCTCAGTCAGCTTCTCTGGAAATGTGATGCCCTAAACAGGACCCAGCTGGGAAGAGCTCAGCTGCAAAGCTCACCGGCTGAGTGCTGGCTGGTGAAGGCTGCCCTTGTCCAAGGGGAGGAGTCACACAGGGGGATTTTGGGGCTGGAAATGGGTTGGGAATTCCTTTAGACCTGATGGAAGGGCAGTGGTTCTCTGGGTGTGGGGATTGCAGTGCACCTGCCTGGAGCAGCCAGAGCTATAAATGCCAATTAGAGCCCGACTTGCCAGGCTAAATAAAGCAGCAGGACACTCCAGGCAATTTATTAATGAGTAATTATTTCAGGGCTCTTCAGCTGAGCTGCGAAGCCTCGTGACCCAAGGCAGCATGTTGCTGGTGGCTGAGACCAAACCCCTGAAGCATCTCACAGCTTCTGCATCCTCATAAATGCTCAGGACCGGAGGTTTTTTGGTTAGCTTTAAACCTCTTCTAACTCTTTCGGCCTGTAGTTGGACAGGCAGCATCCTCTGTTGGTGGATCTAATGGATGGGATGCTCCAGTCCCACCACAGCATATGGGGAGCAGTTGTCCTTAAGGCTCAGTGTTGTATTTGTACCCTTTGGTGACTTCAGGAGGTAAATAAGAGCTTGTTTTGGGGGCATTCATGCAGCCTGGGCAACTCAAGCAGGACTGGTGCTAAGCTGTACCAGTGCAATGTGTTCGTGCTGCATGTTGCACATCAGCTGTCAGATGTTCTTACAGACAGGGCTGAGGATGCTCTGGGCTGGGTGGTCTTAAGGAAATGCTTGTGGTAAGGATGGCACACAGTGATGGAGTGCTGGGAAGGGGTGTGGGGTGAGTAGTGTCCTCCAGGAGATGCCAGCCCAGACCCTGGGGCTGTGTCCAGCTGTAGGGCTGCAAGGCTGGGCAGGCTCTGGCAAAGGGAGAGATGTCTCTTCCTAATCCTGCAGGTAATTAATCTGTTCCTGGAAAAAACTTCCATCCCTGCATGGTTATAAACATGCTTCTGAGTCAGAGCTATCCACTCCCAATTTGAAATTTGGCCAGAGCAATGGAGACTTTCTCATTTGATCCTATTTCCCCCCCGCCCCGTGCACAGTTAAAGCCTTATTTTAAAAGATATATAATGAAATCACGATGCCTGGAGTCTCTTTCTAATGGGAGAACTGCCAAAGCAGAGGGATGTGACCCCCAGACGGGGCTGGGAGCAGCACGAGGTCAGCACGGTCAGCGGTGGGGTGGACTGGGGTTGGACTTGGGGATCTCGGAGGTCTTTGCCATCCGTAACGATTCTACGGTTCCACGCAACTTTCCTCCCGCAGCCCGACGCCGGGCGGAGCACCGCATGCTCGTATCGCATCGCTCTGCGGGCGGGGAGCGGCCAGCAGCCGCTAGATGGCAATGCCGGAGCGGAGCTTCGAGATCTCACCGCACGCTGCAGCCTGGGGGGCTCCGGCCTCTGCCTGGGGAATGGGCTGCCCGCACCTCCTGATGCTGATGTGAGGGTGAAAGCAGGGAGGAGGCTTGCATTTCGCTGTTGCCCTACAGCTGCGAGCCCTGCTCCTTCCCAACCCCATCACCCCGTTGCCCTGCGTTGGTTTTCTTTCGTTTGCAACTCAAGCCAGCCCAGCACAGAGCTGGCTCCCAGTCCCCGTGCCGTGTTGAATCATGTAGGCATCAGCCTTGCTTCTCCTTGACTCACAGATCCCAGCGTGCTGGGGTGAGGGTCAAGCCGAGAGCGGCAATAAACATCCTGGGAAGCGGAGCCTGCAGCTCTTGGCACTGCCAGGACTTTTTGCTTTCAATCTTCTCTTAAGGAGCTGCTTTCTCATAAATATCCCATCCTTTAGAACCATCTGAACAGGAGAGAGTCTCCCAGTTGGGTTTTCCTGTGCTCTGTTCTGCTGCAGCAAATACAGAGGAGAGTGGAGACCAAGGCCTGGATACAGGGTGTCCAGGTAAGGGGTGCAGCTGCTTGTGGGGCCAGGAGGAAAGCAGCGAGGTGCATATGGGCTGGGCAGTGCTGCTGGTGTCTGGCCATTCCCACTCCCACCCCTAGGTGCCAGCTGGAGGTGGGTGTTGGGGAATGCCTCATGGGGATGGGAGGATGCTTGGGAACCCAGGGTCACCCAGGTTGGAGTGATTAACCCTGAGCTTAATGAGCTGTGGCTGAGAGGTGGGATGAGCAGCACCGCTCCAGTGGCAGCGGGGAGATGGCAATTGGGAACGACTTGCAGATCCTCACCAGTTTGTGCATCCTGGGACTGTAATTAGGGTGGTTGGTGAATTAAAGCTCTGTGTGTTGGTAGGGGGGGGTGCCCACTGGGTGCTGTGCTGGTGACATTGCTGGGGGCTGGCTGACCCCCACAGGCACCCCCAACCTGTTACATGGCCTGTGGAGGAGAGCTGAGGATGGGTGCAGCAGATGGGTCTCCTGGTGTCTGACTGAGGTTGGGGCAGCCATCCTGTGGCCTTTGTGCTAAATGCTCCTCTCATTCTGCTGGAGAGGGTCTGATCCTTCCCCCCCAGCAATGCACTGTGGCAGCCTGGATCATAAAGCCAGCCCCATATTTGGAGGAGGGGATACCTATGGTGAGGTGCTGTGGGGCTGCACAGGGGGAGCGTCCCTTGTCACAGATGAGTTAATGACCTACCTGATTAAGGGTTTTATTTTATTTTGTTTTATTAAGACTTACCCTAAGTTGCCACATGGCAAACTTGTAGGACATGAACCAGGTGCCTGCTGCTCAGTGGTGTTGGGGGAAAAGCGTGGATGGGATGTGGGGCACTGCAGGGCTGTAGTGTGGGTGCTGATCCTGTGGACACAGGGGGTCCAAGGGCATGGAGAAGCCACAGACCCACTTGTGATGTTGTGCGCATTCCTTGGAGGATGCACGGTCGTAAGCGGTGAGGCTGGAGGCAAATGGATATGGGGTTATCAAATTCAGGTGGATATGGGGACGCCCCTCGACCCCAGGGGATGGGGTAGCTGGGGGGCAGCCCCAGTGCTTGTGCACCAATCCCACAGACAAGGGTGGGGGAAGCAGAGCCCCGGTGTCCCCCTACCTCCATCCCCACTCACCCGGGAGCCCCCGTGTGCCGAAAACCCCTTTGCGGGCGGGGAGTTCTCGGGGGGGGGGGGGGGGGGGGGGCTCCCGCGTCGCCTTTGTTCCCTGCAGACCCTCCCCTCGCCGCTGCCTTCCCTTTGCAGCAAGCAGCTCGTCGCTTGCCAAAAGAATGCACTGGATGGAGCGAGCGAGCGAGCCGGGCGTGCGTGCGCGTGTGTGCGCGCCCGCCCGTGTGTGTTGCAGCCGACTTCATTAAAGACAGCCAGCCCCGAGCTGCAGAGGCGCGGCAGCCTCGGGTTCCGCGGCCCCGTTCCTGCAGAAAGCCGACGTCCATCCCTCGGCGGCAGCCGGGCCTGCAGCGGGGCCGGGGGCTCCCGGGGGGGCTGCTGAAGATGGAGGCGGCGGGAGGAAGTTGGCCACTTGGCTTCAACTAGGCTGGATCGCGCTGCAACCTGTTCGCCGGCCTCCCCTGCGCTGCGCTGGGTGCTGTACCGAACGGTGGTGGGGTCGCGATGGGGCGGGTGGAAGGGCTCCAAGCTCCCTGGGTTGGGCTCGGGGGTCCCAAAGGTTTAGATTTGGGGGGAGGGGGAGAAAGGATGGGGCTGATATCCCCCCCGCTATGCCGCTCCCTCTCCACGATGCTCTCCCGGAGGGATGCGGGAGCGACGGGGATGAGCATCACCGGAGAGGAGGAGGAAGGAGCCCCGCAGCCCCCCCCCGTTTCCCCCTCCCGCTGCCTTGGCGGTGCCACTCGGCTCACCTGTGTGCTTTCTTGCAGGATGGCTCGCTTCGGGGAGGCGGTGGCTGGCAGGCTGGGCTCCGGGGATGGGGGCTCCGAGCAGAACCGCAGCCGGCAAGGAGCTGCTGCTCCGGCAGGAGGGTCTCCGGGAGCTTTCAAGCAAACCAAAGCGCAGCGAGCCCGGACTATGGCTCTGTACAACCCCATCCCTGTCCGGCAGAACTGCTTCACCGTCAACAGATCATTGTTCCTCTTTGGGGAAGATAACATAGTCAGGAAATACGCCAAGAAGCTCATCGACTGGCCATATCCTTTCTGCACCCCCTGCGAGCCCCCCCTTGCTCCCCGTGCCCGGATTTGCCTTGGTGGCTGCCCAGGACACGTGTGTGGCAGCAGCTGGCAGGTAAGCGCCTGCCTTCTGCTCTCCTTCGGCGTGCGGAGAGGGGTGCCCTGGCCCCGTCCCTGGGGATGCTCTGCTCACCCTGTTGCTGCTCCCCCCCCCCTCACTCCATCACACAGAGGGGGCAGGGCCCCCTTCCCGCCCTTCCACCCGCCCCCCCCCCTCCCCCACCCCCCAGCTGACCCCAGCCTCTTGAGGCTTTGGATCACCCCTGTGCTGTCCAGGGGCTCTCTGATCCATTTTGGCTTTAGGACGTGTGTGGCTGGTGGGGGTTCTACTTCCCTACCCAGAGCCCCCATCCTGCTGGGGACAGATCCCTGTGCAGCCTGGCATGCTGGGCACGAGCATGGCTGCCATCACCCTGCAGCTTCATCCCACCCTCTGGAAGTGGGATGCTCCCTCCCTGTGCTGCACAGAGGTTCTGACCCCCTTTGCCTGCCTCCTGCTGCAGCTCTCCAGGGATTACCCCAGGAATACACCAGACAGAGGGCATGAATCTCCCACTTCTTCCCCTGCTCCCCCGTCCTTTTGCACCCCCATGCATTTCTCTCCCCTTCCACCTTCCCTGCAGGTGCCCTGGGAACTGTGCTTGGTACCTCGCCCTGCTGCACGCCCCTCTCCATCACACCTCTGCTCAGCACCCCACTCCCCTCCCAAACCCACAAACTTCCCCGTGGCCATGCTTTGGCTCCAGGACCCTCCCTGTAGTGCTCTCTGCAGTGGTGATTATGTGCAGCTCTCGCCGTTGCTTCCTCTCCTTGCAACTTGTTGGGTAACTTGCTGGCTCCTTGGGTGTGAGATGGAGGTGTCCGGCAGATATAGGGTGACTCAGTGCAACAGGTGCCCTGGGGACACCCATGGGTCTACTACCCCACTCTAAGCCTTGCTGGGGGTATAACCCTGTGTATCGGTGCACTGCAACCTCTGGGTTCACCCCCAGGGCCTGTTGGGGGTCCAGCTGTGCCATAGGGGTGCAAGGCATGGTGGGATGGGGACAGCTTTGCCGAATCCCTGCTGTGCCATGCCCAGCCCAGCATTGGGTGCAGAGCATCAGCGAGGCAGCAGCTGCACTCAGAGCACTGCAGGGCGCTCGCTGGGCCGCCGGGTCTTGTTTTCCAGAATATGCCAAATTATTCATGTGCTTTCCCAGCATGATGTGGGAGGCCTCCCGCTGCTTGGCTGTTGCTCTGAGCGGGGCTATGGGCTGAGGTCCCATGCCAATGCCATGCTCACCCACCAGCTGGTGCACGGCCACCGTGCTGCAGCATCCCCACGGTGTTATTCCTCCCTAAGACTTGCACTGCAGGAAGCAGATGGGCTCGTTCATTGATTTATTTTAATTTTTTTCCCCCAAAAGAAAGGACACATCCTTAGGCGAGTGTGTGGAGTGGGAGCTGCCTCTTGGTTGCCGTGCCATACGTGGCTGCCATCTCTTTCCAGGAAATTCTCCCACCTCGGGGCTTGTTGTGTATTGAGCTTTTGAGGGCTTGGCTACAGGCAAAGCTTTTTGGTGATGAGTTTGTGCCCACTGAGCGATAGGCTGGAAAAGAGGGACCTTTGGATGTATATGCTGGGTCAAGTGGAATGACCTCTTGTAAGCCTTGCATGAGGCTGAGCTTCATTTGGTGGAGAGGACTCAGTGTCACCTCAACTTGTACTACACCACAATGCCCCAAATGTCATGCTAGCATCAGTGTAGCTTTGGGCTGTGCTAACCTTATAGCAAGGTCTCCTTGGGTGGAAGCAGTGTGGTTATGCTGTTGTCAGTGTCACTGGCCAAGAAAGTTGCTCTCCTCTTGAAACTGGTGCATCAGGGCCATGGGATGTGAGCACCTGGCTGTAGCCTGCAACCCAGTGTTGCACTTGAGAGTGCTAGGCTCATGGGTCGGAGGGGGCTGGGGTGGGGCAGGGGAGGGTGAAGGCTCTTCTTCACCCAGCTCCAGTTGACTAGGTAATAGGGCTAAAAATAACGGGTGATTCAGGCCTGGATATCTGCTGGGTAACTGTATAATTATAACCAGCAGCCTCTGCAGTTTGGCTTCCCAGTGTAAATAGGGATGATGCATGGAGGGGAAGGAGGAGAAACACAAGGAACAGGGCTCAGGATTTGGCTCCACGGGGAGAGCCTTCGCTGAGAGCTTTGCTACCTCTTCTGGAGCTGCTCTTTTTGGGTGCTGGTGCTCCAAACAGAAGGCAGCCTCTGGCTCGGCTGCAGGAACATCTCCTCTTCCCTTTGCTTCTCCTTTCCTCCTGAAACACAGCCCCGCTGCTCCCACTGATGGCCAGGTCTTGAGCCCTGATTTCATTTGTTCACTGCCTGGGAAGCTGCAATTCAGTTAGTGCACAAGATGGGCTGCAGCTCTGCTCTATCTGCTCCGTCCTTCATCCACTTAATCGCATTTGACACGATCCTTCTCCCTCCCCAGAAGGACCAGATGACATGGGGTGCTGCTGGCTCATCCCCAGCACGCCGTCCTCAAAGCCTCCCCTGCATCCCAGGTGACCTCCCTGTGCCCATGGCTTTCCACTGCAGCCGGTGACAGCTGTGTCACCGCATCCCAGTGCCCATTGCTGCCTCATCCCACGAGGGATCCATGCTTTGGTGCACCCCACATGGCAGTGATTTGGGATGAGTGGGTGTCCCCGGCTGGGCGGTGAGTGTCACCTGGGGACACCGCAGCCTCTTTGTCCCCTTTGCTCGCACCCTGCAGGAAGAGCATCACCACGCTGTGCTACCCAGGAGCATCTCCCCTCCATCACCTGAGGCTGCTTTCTGTGCCCTTCATTCATCGGATTTCTTAAAATGTTTTCTTTGGGGAGGGGCGAGTAGGTGTAATGGCAGGTCCATCTTTCTGACAGCCAGGGAAAGAGAGGCTGCCTGTCAGATGGTGAATTTAAACAGAGGCAGCTGTTGTCATGGTGACGCCAAGTTGCATCCTGTTGCCGTGGCAACCAAAGTTAAAAAACTGATGTTAAGGCAGGAGAATCACATGATGCGGTTCTTTTTTGTTTAAAAAAAAAAAAAAAAAAAAAAAGGGAGGGGGTGAAAAAAAAAAAAAAGAAAAAAGAGAGAGATTTGGTTTCCAGTTTTCAGGAGAGCACTTCTCCCTGGCGCTGCTTGCACGTGGTAGGCAGTGCCTGCGCCCACGTCGCTGCGGGCAGCTCTGCTCTGGATGGGGCTTGTGTCCTTGGGGACAAAGGCAGCAGGGCTAGGGAACCCGGTGCTGAATGAGGAGCAGTTGTGGTGCTTGCTCTGTTTGAGTGCCTCCTGCTGGGTGTGGAGCTGAGAGATGGGCACATGGGGCAGGAGAAGGTCTGTGTTGGTGTGTGGACAGTGGCTTGGGAGCAGCAAGGCAAAGCCCAGCGGTGTAGGAGGTGAAGATCCATCACATTCACACATAGGGAGCATGGAAATGCCTGCAGTGCAGCAGGTCCCAGGAGAGATGTGGGGATGGGTGGAGAATGGAGGCTGTAGGAGATGTTGGGGCTGAGCAAGGTGGAACCACTCCTGCCCTTTGGAGATGCCCAGGTGGCTTCCATCTTTTTCTTCTGCTCCTTCCACACCTTCCTACCTGAAAGCTGGGTGAGGCATGAGCACTAGGCTGCTGCTGGGCCAGGGGGTGAGGAGGGTTCCCTGCAGCTCCCACACCTCACTCAGGCCCAGGGATGGATTCATCCTTACGCTTGGTGAGGTCCAACCACCTGGTGAGGTCGCACTGCTGGGCTACCAGCATTGCAAATCCATTTTCTTGCTCTCCTCATGAGCAATATCTCCTGGGTGGGGAAGAGAGGCAAGTTTGGCATCTCCATTACCATTGCACGTCTGCCTTCACGATGATGGTTGTGGTGATGTTGTCTGGGGATACTGTAGCCTCAGGGACCCTTCTCCAACCTGGATGGGAATTGGGCTGCAAAGTGTGACTGGGGATTAGCAGACTTGCTAAGGAAACCAGTCAGTTGCTCAGGGGCGAGGGCATGGGGAAAGGAGATAAATCAATAAGAAAACCTATTTTTATCGGCTCCCTAATGATCTGCCCGGAGAAGCCAGACGAAGGAGGAGGAGAAGGCTGGAGAGAGATGGGTTTTTATTACCAGCCTCTCAGGGAGGCGAGCACTGTGCTGCGATATGGGGGGCTGGGAGGTTGGCAATTAGACACCTAATGAGAGAGGAAAGGCTCTGAGAGCAGCACCTGGCCCTGAGCTGGGAGGACACGTGGATGTGTGCGGATGAATATCCCCATCGTTTGGGCAGATGTTTCTGCAGTCCCCGGGGGGAGGCTTTTCTCACCTCACACCCCACAGTTAGTGTGGACCTTATCTTTAGAGTGGACCCCATAGTGTTGTGAGGTGGGAAAATGTGAGGTGTTTCCCCCATAGGTGAGGACACTGCAGGAGGGAGGAGGCAGCAGTGCTAAATGCCTTTGTTGAGGAGCTCAGGGTGCTCTTAAGGTCTGACCACGCTGTTGCCTGCCTTCTTATCTTGACATGTGCCCAGTGCAGCTGCCCCTCCAGTGTGCTGGCTCCTTGGAAGCTGTGCTAATTGCTCACACACTTTCAGGAAAATGAAATAACAGACACCAAATAGGCTGACGGCTTGTGGTTGAGTGCTGTGTCCTCTGTGTTAGCTGAAGTTTGTGGATAGGGAGCAGGGAAAGGAGGCAATAGAATCCTTGCTGGTAGGAAGCCTTGAGGGGAAAGTTTTCCAGCACTGGCTGAATGTGAGGAGATGCTCCGGATCTTCTGCGTGGAACCTGCATGCTGCAGAGATCTCTCCCGGTGTGTTTTTAACTTATCAACCATTAATTTCCCTGAGTGGCCTTTCAAATGTTTTGGATGAAGCCACTCTGGCTCGTATCCCTAAACACATCCCAGCTCCGGTGAGCCGGGCTGCCTGCCCCTGGCAGCTCTCCTGGACAGTGCCGTGACAGTAGTGATGTGGCCACAGGGTTTTGGCAAGGTGCTGGAGGTGTTTGGTGGTTGGTGGATGATCACTGCTGGAAACCACAAGGATTTGGTCTGGGTTCTTCCCTGCGGTGATTCTGCCCTTCCCTTCCTTTCTGATGGGTGGCCAAGCTGGGAGCTTCCATGGCAGGTGCTCAGCTTGGTGTCATGCCTGGCTCTACAGTGCACAACTCCAACAGTGCACAACCACAAATTCTCTCTCAGATGAAGCCCAGCCTGATCACAGCTACCCACCTCCACACTCGTGTGCATCCCCTGGGCACCCACCGCAGGCACCATCCCAACAGAGCTATAGGGGAAAATGGGGTAGCTACGGGGAGGCTTGGGGGGCTGGCAGCTCCGTTCTACTTCTCCTTGACTTCTCCCACTCCCTTTGAGTATATGATCCTGGCAACCATCATTGCCAACTGCATCGTGCTGGCCCTGGAGCAGCACCTCCCAGAGGACGACAAGACACCCATGTCACGGAGACTGGTGAGCATCCTTATCGGGGCCCCTTTCCCAACAGATGATTTCTGCTCATTTTGGGGTGGTGGGTCAGGAGGGAACTCCAACAGCCTTTGTGATGGGTGGGTCCAGAAAGGTTTAAAAGCCCTAAAAAGTGGCACTGAAGTAAGTTGCAGCTCTGCATTTCTGACCTCCAAATTGATGATGTCTGAGGAAGGGCTGGGGAAGCTCCTAGATGAGGAAGGTGGGATGGGACATGGAATGGGGTGCAGAGCAGCAAGGTGAAGCTGCTCTGTTACGAGATGCTTGGTGATGTGTGCCCTGTGCCCTCTCACTGTGCCCCTGATTGCTCTCTGCAGGAGAAAACGGAGCCATACTTCATTGGGATTTTCTGCTTTGAGGCTGGGATTAAGATCGTGGCTCTGGGCTTTGTTTTCCACAAGGGCTCATACCTGCGCAATGGCTGGAACGTCATGGACTTCATCGTGGTCCTCAGTGGGTGAGTCAGGGGGCATTGGAGCGCAGGCACAGGGCTTGTCCTGGTGGCGACACCGAACTCCAGGACATGGTGCAGCCATGTTTTGCCATTTTGTGGTGCTGTTTTTCTACCAAATTGAGGGAAGGGAGGATGGATTCCCATAATGGGATGTAGTTCCCTGTCAAACTCCCTGTGCCTGAAGGCATCGCGTCCAGCTTTTCTCAGCTGGTGGCCTGGTCATGGAGTGAGGTGGGTGTTGGACAGGTGTTAGTTAGACCCAGGGTCCTGGTGGGGCTGTAGCTCCAGGTGACACTGGCTCAGCACTTGGGATCCGTGCTGGGGGTGGCAGTGTATGAACTGTGCCAGGTGCTGGTTGTCACTGCTTGTGTCACCTGCTGGGATTGTGGCCCAGATTCAAGTCTTGCTTCAGATATGATGAGCTGTGCTGGTGACACAAAAAAAAAAAAAAAAGAGCAGATATTGTTTGTTGGGTTTGCACTCACTGATGGTGGCTTGAGCAGAAGCGGCTCAGGGAAAATGAGGCATGGGAACCTCAGGTATCTGGGGTCCTTGGAGAGCTGTTGGCTGCAGTCCCATCTCCTGGTATGCAAGCTCCTGCACAGTGGCACCACGTGGGATGTGGCACCGGTTTGTTGGAGGAAGGTGGACACTGAGCCTGGTGCTTGGGACGTGGTGATGGGCGTTGTGTGCCCGCAGTGGCATGGCATGGCATGTGTCAGGGGTGTGCTTGTTGGAGATGTCCTGGTTGGAAGGATTGGTTGTCCTGGTGGCATCTCTAGGGTGATGCAGGGACTGGGGAATGAGCCCAGGCTGGCTGGAAATGCCCATGGGCTGCCGGCTGGCCTGAGCACTCTTTGGGGCTCAGCCAAGGGGAAATGCCATGTTTGAGCTGGGAGCTCCACTGTGAGCCTCTCCGGCGGATTGGGGTGAGCCGGCTGCAGCCCAGCCTGTGCTGAGTCAGCGCTCAGCAATTACTCACCCGCTGGCATCGCCAGCTCCTGCCTGCACTGGGCCCAGTGCCAATGGACCAAACGGCCGTGCAAGGCTGCTGCTGTGCCCACACGTGCCGTCCCCCAGCAGGCGTATGGGGCACGGAGAGTCAGCTTCACCACTTTGTCCTCTTACGTCCTGCTTTTTGCTCAGGCAGATGGAAACCCCTCCCAGAATCGCCTGTGCAGCTCTCGCTTGGAGAGGTGTGCGTGTGACAGTGACAGCTTGCCTCCCTGCAAGATAAACCAGTGCGTGCGTTGGGTGTTCTGAGTTATCGGTGGCTTTCTGCAGCGAGCGATGCCGGGCTGCAAAGCGGCTCGCAGGCAACCGTGGGAGGGGCACGTGCTGTGATGGGCGGGTGGCAACGTTGGAGTGCTGCACCGGGCCTTGTGAGCGCCTCTGCAGACTAAAACTTGATGGATAGGTCTGGCCAGATGTCTTTGGGATGCGCGGAGATGCCTGGGGTGCAGGGGGTGTTGTGAGTGTCCTCAGGATGCGCTGAGTGATTTGGGATGGTGATGCAACACAGAGGGCGTCCGTGGGAGTGGTGTGCATCCCAGTGGACCAACATCGCTGTCCCTGTGCAGATGACATTGGGTGCTCTTTCTTTTAGCATTAATTTAGCTTTGTAAATCAGAGAGGTGCTTTATGCAGGTGGCACTGTGGCCCGGGCACTGTGTTGGGGTGTCTGTGGGCAGCAGGCACAAATTAGCCTAACGAGGGGCTGATAACATGAGTGGCCTCCTGGGACCAATGAGGGAGCAGATGGCACCAGTGCAGGTTCAACTGGTGTTTGCTTCTTATGTCAATAAACCCAGATTTCTCATCTCTGTGGAAATCAACGCCCACCCCAAACTCCCTAATGCTAAAGCTTCCACTGGGGAACTAATAGGCACATTTGTAAACCCACTCCATTTGTAACCTATGGCTTCTAAATCATCATAGCTGCCTGAAAAACAGCCCGTTCTCCCCCAGCCAAATATATTTTTCTCAGAAAACATGCATAAGGTACCTTCATGCATTGTGGAGCAGAACTGAGATAGAGATGGCACGTGTTACCCTGGGGATGCTCACCTCGTATGCTCTGAAGCTGGGCTTGGAACCTGCTTGGTGCAGTGTGTCCTGGTCCTGAAGTGGACCGTGGTCAGTTCTTTACATGCAGCCCTGGGAGGGAGAGGTTGGAGCTAGATGAACTGGTGATGGAGCATCACCTCCCTGCACATGGACTGGTTCTGCTGTTAGTGTAAGGAATAAAAAACTATGATCAAAATGCAGCCTGGAACAGACTGGAAGGAGCCCTAACGCCACAAGAATGGGCTAGCAGAATGGCTTAGATGTCATCTGTCTGCACAGGGAATGGGATTTCGGGCTGCTCGCCTTGGTCATCTTCCCTTTTTCCTTTAGTCTTAGCCAGTCTCCAGCACAGTGATTCCCCATCTCCCGTCCCCAGCTCTTCCCTTCCAGGACAATTAGTAAAGTGTTTGGTCTTTCGTTTGGATGAATAATTGATTCCTGAGCTCTGTGAATGATTCATGGGCCATATGCCATGGCAACAGGACGTGCCTTCCACCGGCACCTTGCACAAAGGGCAGACTGCAAGCATCAGGGATGTGTTAGAGCCGGAGGGCTTTGGGGGGGCCCTGTGTAGGCAGAGCTGTGCTATGGGTTTGGGAACACGGGCATCCCCCATTTTGTTGCAGGGCCAGCTGAGGAACCCTAGTGTTCACCCTAACGCTCCCATCGCTTTCAGCTCAGGGTTTCCTGGAGCAAAGCACTGTTTGGTGCCATCTGAGATGGGACCTGCGGCTCTGCAGCCTCACAATCCACTTGTGTCGTGGCCCCAAAACCTAGAAAGAGTGTGGAAAAAAAGGACAGAGGCTTTCAGGTTGCACAGCATCCCCAGGGCTGGGCTGCTGAGTGCATCTGTCTGGGTGTAACCGGTGCTAATCACAGCAATCTCTGCAGAGGAGGGGTTGGTTCACCAGCCAGAAAGGGGAAGAATGGGGTAAATCCATCAGGTCCCTTCCTGTGAGCTGTTTGACCAGTCTATTAATTATGCACTCGTCTCCCTCATAGAGTCAGGTGGCGGTTCAGGCCTTGAGGGGCCTTTCCACTTAATTATAAATATTAATTTGTGTGCCAGCCAGCACCCTGCCTGGCCCAGATTCGGAGCTGGGATTTGTCTGGCTGCACCGGTGGCTCCCTCATCCCCTTGCTGGGACAGCTTTCTGCCACCTCACCCCTGCGTGGGACCTTTGGGGGATGCTGAATCCAAATATTTTGAGAGGTCAGCATTTGCTTGGGCTCCCTGCTAGAAAGCATGGCCCGGTGGTCCCCAGTGCTGAGGTTCATGCTAGGGTGATGATGCAGAGCCGGGTGCATCAGAATGGTTTTATGGGAGTGTGACCACGGGACGTGACTTGTGCCATACCCAATGCACATCACATTGATCACCACTGAGCTTGGAGATGGTTTCCCCACTGCTGCACAGTGCCTCAGGGTCTCATCTCTTGCTGCAGGGGCTGCAGATAAATAAAACAAAATAACTGCCCAGGTTGCAAACACAAAGCATCGGATTTTCTTTTCTAATATATATTTTTTTTCTCCAAAGTGTGTTTTTGTCTGCTGCTGATTGCTCACTATTCAATTATACTTTGCGGATTAGCATATATTTCCCACCCTGCCTCCTCTCTCATTTGCATTCTTCCAATAGATCCTCTCTGCTCCTTTCTCCACCTGAAGTCTCTCTTCTCCCTTTTATTCCGAAGAAGCAGAGCTCGCCCCTTTGCCTAGGTGACCTATAAAAACGCCTTCACTTTTTTTTTCCTTTTTTTCTCTGGTACATATGATGAAAAGCATGAGATCATTGGGATTTTTATAGCCCAATCTGGCAGCTTTTTTCAGATAACTTGGATGGTGAGATGTAATTTTAGTTTGGGTCCTTGCCTAAAAATAAAGAATAATTATTAGTACATCAGACGTGGATATTGTAAGTGTTGGAGAGGGCTTGAATTGTTCTGCAGATAGCAGATCTGCAGTCCTGCACAAACACTGAACTCCATCCCATCCTCAAGGGGGTTTTCAGTGTGTGCCAATGTGCTTGTTGTTGCTGCTGCCCAACCCTGGGGTGATGCTCCCCGGCAGGCTTGGTGATGCCGTGGTTTTCTCCCTTGCTTTTTTTGCCTTTTGGCTTCTAACTCTTGCTTCCAATTTCACTTCGGTTTATTGTAGGTGATGAAGCTTTTAAAGTTCTGGTGGCAGTTTTAAAAAGGGAAAGAAAGGCTGCAAAACCAGCGTGGCACGGGCTTCCCTGTGTGGTTTCAGAGCCAGGTCTGAGCAATTTGGCCTGGGGAGGTGAGCAGCAAGTGGTGAAAGCAAAGTGGAGCAGAAGTGGGTCACACTGTGCCATGTGGGTCATGCCACCAAAAAGGCTCATGTAAGGGTTAACGAGCAATTAACAGATGTTGAGTGAGGCATCCAGAGCAGGAGGTTTTGGGTATACAGGAGAAGCTATCAAGGAGAGGCGATGTCTTTTATTACAGACTGAAGGGCTTGGAGAAAGCAGACAGAAACCAGGCTCGCGTGCCTGCACGCTTGCTTGCTTTTTCCAGCACCTCAAATGATCTAAATTTAGTCCCATGCTGCTGAGACCCTGCTCTAGGCTGCGTGGATGCCCTGGGATGCTGAGCAGGAAGGATGCACAGACACCTTCGGTCAAAAGAAGCATCAGCAGTGGCACTGCTGTGCTTGGTGATTTTTCTGACCCACCCTCTCCGTGACACAGCTCATGATGTCCCTTGTCCCCCCATGAGGACAAGGAGCACGTCACCTTGCCACAGAGGAGTCCCATTCTTAGCAGCTAATTTGGAGCGTGGTGGAGGCTCGCCCTGAAATTGCGTGAACCTTGCCTGGAGGCTCCTCACCAATGCTCCTGAGCCTTTCAGATGAATCTGGGTTAGCAGAGGACTTTGCAGCCTGGGTGCTTGGCTCCTCACTGGGTCTGCTTCCAGAGAGCTGGGGTGTCTGACCACTGCTGGGAGCAGGGAGATGCTTGGTGCTGTATGCCACCAAAGGTGTGAGAGCTGGTCCCCATGGGGATGCACCATGGATGAGCAGGTTGGTGCACTGGGGCTGTAGGTGATGTCAGAGTGATGCTGGGACAGGTTTGCTGCCCATCCCTTCTGCAAGCAGCCTGGTAAACCAGCAAGGAGGAAGAGGAGGGTTGGGAAGCGGGCGGTACCAACCTGCTTACATTGTGGTGCCGGGTATCCTAGGAAACCAAGCTACCTTTTGGGGGGGCTGGGACCTACGTACCTCGGGGAGCACGGCAGGGAACTTGTGCTAATTGCTCTGTGTGCCAGAGAGCCGCTCTGACCTGCAATTAGATGAATTAGTGGAACAATGACCCAATTTCCCTCAGTTTTTTGGATTGCTGCAAACATCCCTGAGGTTGCTGCCACCCTCTGTCCCCCTCTCCTCCCTATCCCTGGTTCCACCATGCAGCCCTCGTCCTCCTCTTCCTCACTCAGCCCATGTGGGACAGGCCAGCAGACCTGGTGACACGCTCTGTGCTCTCAGTGTCACCAGTTCCCCCACTCCCCTCTCACTATGGGCACCTTGGGCACTGCCAGACTCGCAGTGTACTGGCTCCCCTCTGTCCCAGTTTGTTTTCCCGAGATCAGCTTGAGAAATCTTTGTGTTTTAAAAGCAAATACTGTAGTCCTTCCTGTGCTTTCCAAGGGCATCAAATTTTCATTACTGTATATTTTTTGAATGCGTGCAAGGCTCTCGGCTCATTCCCTAAGGAAACACCACATGTTGAAGGAGTTGATGCAGCTGATGGCTCCACATGAGCTTAGGGTCAAGACTCGGCCATGGGCCCCGTCTTCTGAAGCCTGATGGCACGTGGGCTTAGGGGAGGTGTCAAGAGTACCCACACCGGGCCCTGCTGGTGGGGACTGCTTCATTGGATGGAAACCAGGTTCTCAGCACCCAGCCCTGCACTATGGGGCTGTAACCATGCTCTCGTCATGTCTGTCTGCAGCATCCTTGCCACCGCTGGAACACACTTCAACACGCACGTGGACCTGCGCACCCTGCGGGCTGTGCGTGTGCTCAGGCCTCTGAAGCTCGTCTCGGGCATTCCCAGTAAGTTGGGTGCTCCCAGTTCTCCTCTTCTTCCTATCTTCCTCACGTTGCAAGGAGACCTCGTGCCACCTTGGTGACGTGCTGTGGAAATTAGAGGGGAGGAAAAGCTCCCTGGTGGCGCTTCCTCTCCTTCAACCCAAATGCAAAGGGTGCATCCTGCTGTAGGGCTCAGCTCCATGACCAGAAGGTAGTGGGTGGATCCTTCCAGGGGATATTTCTTTCTTTTTTGTCAAGATTTCCTCTGCAGGAATGGAGATAAATAAAGAAACCAGGCTGCTACTGTGGCTGAGCTTCCCTCCCCTCCCTGGGCACCCAACATGTGGTGTATGGGATTTGTAGCTCAGGCAGCATGAGAGGCATGGTGCGTGCATGCTGGATGGTGGGGATTAGTCCAGAAGATGTCTGTATGGTGCTGGGGAGCTTCCCCTGCCCTACTGGCTGTTGGCATGATGGGAATTGGGGTGCTTTTCTTGGGATATTGTGTTAGGAGGTGATGGATGCACCAGGAGCTGTCCCACTGCCTACAGGGTGCATGTATCCTGGGTAGGGGCTGCTGAGCTGAACTCACTCTTTTCTCTTCCAGGCCTTCAGATTGTGCTGAAATCCATCATGAAGGCCATGGTGCCTCTCCTCCAGATCGGCTTGCTGCTCTTTTTTGCTATTCTCATGTTTGCCATCATCGGCCTGGAGTTTTACAGTGGGAAACTGCACCGAGCCTGCTACACAAACAATTCAGGTGAGGGAGGCACCCTGCATCCTGGCTTGGGCACCATGCTCTGCCATCTGTATGCTGATTCCTTGACCACCAGGGCCTGTGACCTGCATTTTGCATTATACACTGCGGGCATCCCTCAGTTGTGTGCAGTTGCGTCCCCCTATTGCCCATCTGCCTCCAGGTTCTCCCCATCTCTCACTCCCATTCCATTGGGTATGTTGTGTGCTCGCAGGTGAGCTGGAGGAGCTGGACCCTCCCCACCCCTGCGGGGTGCAGGGTTGTCCGCCGGGCTATGAGTGCCGAGAGTGGATCGGTCCCAATGATGGGATCACGCAGTTCGACAACATCCTCTTCGCTGTGCTGACCGTCTTCCAGTGCATCACCATGGAAGGGTGGACCACAGTTCTGTACAATGTAAGTCAGGGGCTTTTTGGTACAGCTGGGTGTGGGGATATGGGGGTTCTAGAGGTGGCATTTACTTGGACTGGAAATTTTTTGAGATCCTGACTGGTGGAGACTGAGCTCTTGAAATAGCTGTAGATGTCCCCGTTCGTTGCAGGGGAGTTGGACCACGTAACCTTGAAGGGTCCTTTCTAATTGAAGTGATTTTGTGATTCTATGAGATGGGATCGGCGCATCCCATTTGGGGAGGAAGTGGGAAATAAAGGGACATGTGCTACATGTTCTACTGGTCCAAGGGGTCATTCCATCCCCGGCTCTGGGCAGTGACACTGAGCAGAACATGAAGCAGGAAGAGAGGTGCATGGTTGCATCTTTGTGGGCGATGGGTTTCAGTTCATGGACTGGAAGCAGCCGTGCCAGTTCTGTTCCCAGCCTAATTTCAGCATCGCCTCCGGCGTCATTGCACCAGGAATGTTTTTATACACTGGTTCCCATAACGCCTGGAGATTTACAGAGTGGCATTGCTCTGCAGGAGGCAGATTGGATGGATCGCAATGGAGAAACGTTCTCCAATATTTGCTTTGCTGTAAGCAGGAAGGCTGTTTTGTAAGCTGGATGAAGGCTGTGCGCTGCCAGCGTTAGGGACCCTGTTTGTTTTGGTGATGTTGGGGGTTCTGATTGGCATCCGTGAGGCAGATGGACCACCAAAACCTGGACTGGGGGAGCGGTCTTGGCCAGGGCTTCACCTACAAGGGGTGATGACTTCAAGCTATGTCAGGGGAGGGTCTGGTTGGATGATAGGAAACATTTCTTCTCTGAAAAGTGGTGATGTACTGGCACAGGCTGCCCAGGGAGGTGGTGGGGTCACCATCCCTGGAGGTGTTTGGGAACCATAGAGATGTGGCACTGAGGGACGTGGGCAGTGGGCATGGTGGGGAGGGGTTGATGGTTGGACTTGGAGATCTTAGTGGTCTTTTCCAGCCTTAGTGGTTCTATCATTCTATGATAATTCTTGCCCAGAGGTTCTGTTCCTCCTCATCCTAAAGGAGCTATTGGTGTCTTCATCTTGCTGCTTTGTTGGGGAACTGGGCAGAACTGAACGACTTAGGAAATCAAAATACAAGAGCATTTCTGGTACATCAGTGGGCTTAGAGACTTAACCATAGTGCATATTGGCAGGATAAATGTGTACAGCATGAAAAGGGATTTTCCCCTGCACAACTGCCTTTGGGATGGCTGGGAACCAGGGCAAGCCCATTCCTTTCCTGAGTATCCCCACAACCCCATTCCAAGCCCTCCCATCCCCATGGCAGCTGGGTGCGACCCATAGCTGAGATGGATATTCAGGGATGCCTGGTGGTCTGGGATTCGAGTGGTGTTCCCGGCATCACTGTCCAGATGTGCTCTGTCATCACATCCCTGATGGCTGTGACTGCCCACTGCCTCCCTTTCCTGCTCCAGCTATTACTTACCTTTAATGGAAGTATCAGGGACATTCTTGGCTGCTAATTGAATGAGGGTTTGGGGCTTGGTGGCAAATCACTGCTGATTCACTTCTCCCTCAGCTGCCTCTTGTCCTTCCATTGTCTCATGGGGATGCCTGGCTCTAGGCTGCAAAATGGGGTTTGGAACTCTTTTCCTATGGGAAAAAATGCCACAAATGAGGACATGTGAGCAAGCGTGTGTATGGGCTGAGGTCCTCTGGGAAATGCTCGCTGCCTGCAGGTTTGGGGGTTCGGCCATTGGGTGCAGTGGTGAGAAATGGAGCCCTTTTGGGTTAGTAAGGAGCTCTGCAGAAGAGAGGAGATGGCAGGCAAAATGCTTCAGCAATCTCTCAAAGAAATTGCTTACTATAATATTCCCCCGTGTGGCTGTATCGTGATTTTAAGAGCCATTTTCCCACAATTTTACCCAGTCTAGAAGCACATCTCTCCGAATATGTAGAAAGCATCATGAAAAAGCTAATCAGCCCCGTGGTGCTCTCCACGTGTGTTATTCTGTGGATGCGCTCAGCTCTCACCTTGTTTTCCTCACCCTGCCTGCGTGAGATGCCGCCTTGCTATGCAGAAATCACAGTGTGATTGGGGAAAAAAAACAGCAAAAAATATCTCAAACTGGAGTCCTTCCCTTTGCCCATCCCTGGAGGGCTTTGATTCCTTTTCAGAGAGCATGGGCCTCCTCACACTGTGTGCCAGGGACATTGGCTGTGTGGCATGGGGACCAGATGTCATGCAGAAAGCTGCTTGGTGTCATTGTGGGATTGATGCTGAGGTGGGAAACGGGCAGCCCCAATGGCATCAAGGTGGTGGGAGCAAGCAGGAGGCTTGGCACAGCCCTGATTTGTGCACAGGGCCATGGCTGTTAGCAGCGATGGGTAAAAACATTTTGCCTCCCAGGCATTACAGCAGCATCCGTGCTGCTAATTAAAAATGCATGGCAAGGCATCAAGGGAGCTGACGGGCCACAGCTGCTTGCTGTAAACCCAAAATCCGCCTTGTTGACATGATGGATGGGTTGGGGGTGATAAATACAGGGGGTCACAGTGCTGTGCCTTTGGCTCTGAGGTCCTGAGCATCACTCATGCCTTTATCCCTGTGCATTCCCAAGGAGGGAGAGACGTTGGTGAGCGAAAGTGGAGGGAGCCAAGTGCTGGGTTTTCTAGGGTAGAGGAGCTGAGGAAGTGCCACCCCAAGGGCTTAACACCATCCAAACTTTTAACTAAGTGTGCTGTTTTTCCCCTAAATGGCTCCTGGTCATTGAGCCCTGCCAGGTGAGCCCAGTGATGCTGCTGCATGCATCCCGAGCAGCCATGGGCAGGGTGCTGGTTTTTGCTCTCTCTTGGCTCAGCTGTTTGCTAGCACTTAAAGTCAGACCCTCTCCTTCTTGCCAACTGTTCCTTTTTTTTTTTCCTCTTTATTTCTTTTTTAATGTGTGCGCACTGAAATGACACAGCAAGAAACAAACTGTGTCTGCTGGATCTGCAGCTTCGAAGGCTTGCTCCGCTGAGAGCTGCCTGCTTACACCCTCCTCCTGCTTGCCAAGGGAACGGCTCTGTCCTGAGCCAGAGGAACAGAGCAGAACTTGATGCTCTGGAACTGCCCTACAAGGACAGAGGGTTTCAGCCCCTCTTTATTAAGCCCAGGGGCTGTGATTCCGTTGGCATCCCATGAAAGGTCCTGCTGGCAACCCATGGAGGGTCTCATTGGCGTCCCGTGGTATGCAGTGCTGGGGGGTCTGGGTGTGATTTCTCAGCAGATCAGAGTAGAACAGAACCAAAGTCAGTCTCCACACCCGTATCAAGCACTTTCAAAACACTTAATTTTTCATAATGCTTTTAGCAACGCGTTGTTTTCTTAGTCTGAAATTGAAATGTTTCATTTAGAAAACAGGAAAAATGAAATACACAGGAACTCTTCCCTGTCTCCCCATTCCTACCCAGCAGGATGCGTGCCCGCACAGTTCAGCCCTCACCAAGAATCCCATTGTGGGGAGCCCTGGTACTCTGGGGTCTGCACAGTGCTGTGGGCACAGCGTTGGGCACCCACTCAGGATAGGATACGGCCCAGCCTTTGCTCTGTGAAGGAAATACAGCAATTTCCTCATTAACCTAATTTGGAGAAGAAAAGCATTTTCATTCAGATCTTGTACAGCACTGGGGTCGCTGACAGATACCAGGCACAGCTGGCGGGGAGTGAAGCATGGCCCTGCACGCAGGATATCAAATTATAGCTATTAAAGGGAAGAAGGAGATCTGTTACTGTGCTGTGGAGCTGCAGTGGGTGTCAAGGTCTTGAGGGAGCTGGTTAGGTCAGGGAATCTGCTGGGAGAGTTCTTTAATTTCTTTTTTTTTATCTTTTGGCTGGACTGTGATGCTGCTCCTACTGATCTGTGCCAGGGAGGCTCAGTACCGGCTCTGATCCTCAGACCCCACAGTACTGGGGTCTGGGAGGTGATGGTGTGCACAGTCCTGCTACATCTGCCTGTGGGCCTTGCTCCCAAGCTGTGTTTATTCCCTAAGCAAGTGGATTATGGTAATATCTGAATATTACCCCAATCTAATTACGTGCCATTTGGGTTTGGATTAGAGCAGATATCGCAGAGGCTCTCCTGATGCAGATGGATTTGGACAGAGGACATGGCTGTGCTGCTGCTCAGAGCAGGGACCATCGCTGAGACTGTTTCTCTCAATAGCAAACCTTATCTGCTTGTCCGTCCAGCATCACCCTTCCTTCCCTTGCACTTTCTGTCAAACCACTGGGAATCCAAAGGTGCCCTGCAAAGGCAGAAGGTGCTTTTTGCTAATATTTTACGCAGGAAAAACTGAGTTTGTGGTTGTTTTATTATTTTTTCCCAGCACAGCAAAAAAATCCTGAAGTTTCTCATGCTGAGGGAGGGTATGTGTGGGCTGCGAGCCTGTGCTTTGCGTTCGACGGCAGTATATATTTAGACTTCTTTAGACTTCTGGCCCCTGAGTGAGACCTGCTTTTGCAGCTCCCTATGCCTTTTCCTGCCCTTTGGAAATATAGGAGCTGCCAAAGTAACAGGGCCAGTCCATGTGGTGGCCTTGGTGGTGGGTATGGTGCTAGCACTATCACCCTGGTGGCCCGAGCCGGTGAGGTGGCTTGGGTCATTTGTATGCTTTGTATATGTCAGTGTCTCACGCGTTCCTGGAGGTGGTAGTGAACACATTTTGTGGTCAGGCAGCCAAGGAAGAGTGTGGCTGGTGGTATTTTAGGATGGAGTGATTCACAATGGGCTTTCAGGGAGGTGGTGGAGTCTCCATCCCTCAAGGTATTGAATAAATGTGTGGATGTGGCACTAATGGGCATGAGTTAGTGGTGGGACTCAGTGATTCACTTTGATGGATGGCCTTGGTGAACTTGAAGGTCTTTCCAACCTGAATGACTCTGTGATTCTGTAATGAGAAGGTTGTTGCCTTAAAGGTGAAGAAGAAGGACCAGACATCAGGTGGCTCCTCAGTTTCCCAAAGGCTTTGTATGAGCAACAGGCCCATCTTCAGCACAAGGCCCGGGGCAGGAAGGAGTTTCTTCATTTAAAGGAGTTGCAGCTTTGGTGTGGTCTGAGGATTGAACTACCTGTGGTCTGGCCTCCCTGGACCCTTCATGAGATGTCCTGCTGGGTCCTGAGCAAGTGGGAAGTGGGGAATCTATGGGAATGCACAAGGTGGTGAATTACTGTCTGTGGAAGGGTATTAGGAGTGAATGGTGCTCCAAATATAAAGGAAAAGGGGCTGCTTGTTAAAGAAAGTGATTTCCTTGTGCCAGAGAAGTTGGGAAGTGCCAAAATTCAAGCAACATGGACCTCGTGCAGAGTGCTCAAAGGAGCAGTAAGTGGTTTCTCACCTCTGTCAATCACGGAACCGTTAATGTTGGAAAAAAACAAAGAGATCACCAAGTCCAACCATCAGCCCATCCCCACCATGCCCACTAAACATCACTCAAGGTGACATCTACCCTTTTCTTGAGCACTTCCAGAGACAGTGACTCCACCACTTCCTTGGGCAGCCCATTCCACACCTCACCCCTCTTTCAGTGAAGAAATTTTTCCTAATATCCAACCTGGAATAAGGGGATGTTTGGGCACAGACCCCCATACCAGGTGAACCCAAACTTCTCAAACTTCTGGTGAACCCAAGGGCAACAAAAGGATGCATAGTGTGACCAAGAACACGGGCACGGCCACAGCCCATTGTGCCCACCAGCTTGACGATGAGCATCACCCCCACTGCATTTAGGGGGAGCTGGCACATAGATGGCAGGTCTGGTCCTGCGTATTTATAACAGCTCTGGCATGCTGGGGGAGGCACCAGCTGACTGGGGAAGAGTGAATGCAGTGCCTATATTTAAAAGCGGGGGGAGGAAGGGAAAAGTAAGGCAGGCAGGAATAGGGCTGCGAGCCTGACCTCAATTGCATGCCATTTCGGAACAGATTTTGGAGGCGAAAGAGGAAAATGAATCATGGGTTTGCCAAAGGTAGGTCATGCCGGGCTAACCTGGCATCCAAGGACTGGTTTTCTAAGTGCAGGAAACATGCAGAGCCGCTTGTCGTAGTAATGCTTTCCCTAAGGGGAAGGGTTGGCGGAGCAGAGGTAGTGGGAAGGGAGCAGCACCAAGGTGGGGCTGGTTTAGGGCTCTCAGGGTGAGTCGTGTGCGTGTTGGAGAATGACGAGGATATACCTCCCAAGAACTTGGGTCTTTGTAACTGGAAGGTGCCAGGATGGAGATGGAGGGGAAAGAAGAGAAGCTTTCAGGCAGGATGGTGAGGTCTCAGCAGCATCATGCACGGATGCAGCAGGACCTGTCAGCATTGCTCACTTGGGTCTCCTGTGTACATGGATGATGAACTGAGCCTGGACCGGAGCAGACGAGGGGCTGCTGGATGAACGAAGAGGGAGAGGCAGTCATGCGGGAGAAAACTGAATGAACCTTACTTGAGCTACCAGAGCAGAGCCTGGGAATGGCAACAGTCACCATCTATAAATACTTCAGGATGGGAAACAGGGAAGAGAAGAGCTATGTAAGCCAGAGGTCAATGTTGGCAAAACTACAAATGGATATCAACTGTCCACAAATAAATTTAGGCTGAGACTTAGGGACAACCATTAGAGTGGTTGCCATTTCCAGTGGGAACAGTGCATTTTTCAGGGTTAGGCACTCCTCAGCTTTGAGGTGGAGAGGTAGTCTCACTGTCTACTATGGGTTTGAGAAGCAGTGAGAAATGCTGAGCTCTTAGGGAACAGAAGAGAAAATGCTGGCAATTAGAGCAGGGTGATGCTGGTCCCCATTGCTCTAAATTTAGCTGTGCTTTCAGGGCACAACAGTGTGTGGGGAAAGATGCCTTCTTCACCTGCAGGAATGGAGCCCCTGTGCTGAGAGCTTGGGGGAAAGCCCTTGGCTCTCAGGCTTGGTCTTGGTGGGGAGTGACCCCAACACTGGTGGTAGATACCCAGTGGCACCTGGACAGCGGAGTAGAGTCCAGTGTGAGCTTGTTCCAAGAGGTTCACAGTGCCTTGATTGCCATGGGAAATGCTGCTGTTGGAGAGCAGTGGCCTGGCACCGGGACTCATGGGTGAGTCCAAGTATCTCTGGAGAGCAACGGTGAGTATGGGATTTCAGTGCATCATTCGCATTTCCTGGAATGGAGACCAACCTCAGGGTAGGGGTTGGCATGCAGCACTGGTGTCTCTCCCAGCAGCATCCTTCTGTGTGCTGGTTGGTGCCCACAGCCAGATGTACTGGTGGCCCCAGTACCTGTGTGGTGGTCACCAGAGGTGGCTACCTGCCCACTTGCAGGTTCCTGTGCTGGCCGATGGGGAGACGTGGTGCCAATGACTCAGACAGAGATGAGGGCTTAATTAGCACGGGGAGAGGAGGAAGAAAGAGAAAAGAGAAAGAGCCTTTCATTGCAACAAGATTGATGCCACCTCCCCCAGACAGTCACGTTCTGCCGCATCACCCTCCAGCCTGGCATCATGTGCACAGTGCCTTACACTAGGGGACAAATGGGGCCAGGGAGTGGCTGCGAGGGGTGAGGGGGCATGGCTTTTATTAAAAGCTTTGTTTGGTGAATAACTGTCTGGAGCTGCAAACTGCTTCATGCAGCCAGAATGGAACAGTACGGCGGGATGATGGCAGAAGCCTATTGTCAGGGTTGGCGAAGAGCTGGTCACCCCAAGGAGCTTGGTGTGGTCAGTACAGAAGGAGAATCTTCCTGCACCTGAATTAATGTACCTTCTGCTTGTGCTGTGCATAACGTCACCCCTGTGATTTCTTTCCCCTCCAGACCAATGATGCCTTAGGAGCCACCTGGAACTGGCTATACTTCATCCCCCTCATCATCATTGGATCCTTCTTTGTCCTCAACCTTGTCCTGGGAGTGCTGTCAGGGTAAGCAAGTCACCATCCTCCTGGCATGTGCCTGAGCCCTGTGCCTGGCCCTGGTGCTGCCATGTCCCAAAACCTTGCTACTCCCCTCCATGCCTGTCTCACAACAAGGGGCTGAAGATTTTGGTGTTTTGATGTGCAAGAAGTTGTTGACTGTGACTGGGAGGGAAGAGGGAGAGGAAGAGATATAGAAATGCCTATGAGTTTGGGTTGTGTCTGTAGCCAGGTGCACATTCGACAGCTGATGGAGCGTGGTGGGCATGGGATGGGTTTGGGAGCTGTTGGCTGGGGATCCCCAGCATCACTTGCACATGGAGGGGGACACAGGGGAAAGATGATTGTCTTATTCCTGATCTTCCATGTGGAACAGAGATTTTCCTCCAAGCCGTCAGGCTGGCCTTGGAGAGAAAAAGGCTTCTTGTTTCCATGACAATGAACTGCGGCTGCATTAGCGCATCCCCAGCACTGGCAGAGGTTGGCATGTGGGGAGGGCGGCTGGTGGTAGGCTGTGCAGAGTGAGGGCAGTGGGGCATGGTGGGTGGGGTGTTCCTGCTGGGGTGTAATCAGCAACCCCATGGAGTACCTTGAGGGTGTTCCAAGATGCTTTTTTTGGGCACAGGATGGCTGTGTGGCCAGAGACAGCCTACAGTGAGGAAAAAAAAAAGACTTCTTTGCATGTACATCATATGATTCCTTGGTCCTTGTTTTGAGTGTTGTGTGATGTCAGAATGCGGGGATTAAAGTGGAAGCTGACCATCTCCATCACTGTCTTAAACGTCCCCATGAGTTCAGGTGTGATGGCAGTGGCATGTTCCTCTCTTGATGTCTGTCTACAGCAGGACTGTGTGGGGCAACCCTTCCTGCATCCGCTGAATTGGATGCAGGCACCTCAGGCTTTTCCCAGGCGCTGGCTGGCATTTCCAATGTTTGTTTATTGCTGATAGGGTTTGTACTGGGGAAGGATGCAAGTGGGTGGGTGGCCTAATTGGCAATGGAGATGCTCTTGTGGTGTGCCAGCTACCTAAGGAAAAGCTTGACTGCTCAGCTCCTGGAGGGGTGGGCAAGATGATGGAGGCAGCCAGATGGGCTGTGCATGGCCACCAGTGAGGCCACAGCCTCCCTGGGTGCAGGACCTGGTTGAGGCTGGCTGTCCTCGTGATGAGGCTGTTGGAGGACTGTGAAATGCGGTGTCCTCAGAGTGGAGGCACGCAAAGGCTGCCTTCCTTACTTTGCTTGCAAAGGTTTTGTTGGTTTTAACATTTCTCACCATTCTGTTGTGCTGAAAGAGAGCACTGGGCTCTGCTCTGGGAGGCAAAGGCTGGCTTTTCTACTCCGCATCCCCCTGCGCTGGGCTGAGCAGGGAGGGGGTGGTTGCACTGGGATGTGGTCTGGCCTCCTGCCTTCCCGGCTACAGCTCAGCAGCTGTTCTCAGTGGGGAGCCAACCAGCCACCCAAGGCAGGTCATGAATGCCAAGAGGCTGCAGGAGGACATTTGTTTCATATGCCACCATTAGAAGTTTGCCTGAGCCCAGATTTAGCAATCTTCTGGTTGCGATGCGCATCTCTCCCAACAGTCAGTTCCCCAACTGTTAGGCTGAGCCATGACCTCCGTGATGTAAACAGCCTGGATCCATCTGCTCCTGAGCACTAAGTATGTGGGAGAGAAAAAGCAATGATTTCCATCATGCCGAGGCCTCTCGGTTTGCTCTCTAAATACTGACACACACACATGCGCTGGAATTGCATGCACCGCTATTAGCAGAGATGGAGTAGCTCCAGGCAGGGGCTTGGAGAGCCAGATCTTCTGGGGCTTTGGCATTTATTACTGCGTCTATTAACTTTTTCCCCTCTATGGGTGCAATTACAGATCAATTAATTCCAACTGAAAGCAGGAAAGGGAAAAAAAAAAAATTGGCCCCGTTCCTCTTTGTGCACATTTCGCAGGTATAAAGCCCAAGGAGATGTGACTGCTCAGCTTTTAAAGCTCCACAAGCTCCTGAAATAACCCTGGCAGGAGCATCAGAGAGAGCAGGGAAGGAGCAGCCACTGCAGTGCTGTGGGGTGGGGAGCTCAGGAGCACGACTCGATGCGTCGTGTGTCCTAGGGCTGGTGTAACCCAGGGCGATGCCAAAGCAAGAAGTTGAGCAGTGATGGCAAGAGAAATGAAATCTATCTGCCTTGTACCAAACAAGAGAGTAATTTAAATCCTCCTAATTGCTTCCACTCATCCTGGTGATGTTAAGTCTTTTCTCCCTTTGAGTCTTTTCTGCCCCCCACCTTCAGCTCTTGCACTAAGCCTTTGAAAGAAACGACTAATGTTATAATTAAAGGATCAATTTGGCAAGATTTCTTTGTCTTAAGATCTTCTTTCTTTCAGGTTGGGTTAGCACTGCGTTCCCAGTCTCCTGAGAGTATTCTTCAGCTCCTCCAGGAGCCTTCTGTACCATCTCTGAAATCTTTTCACTTCGCTTCATTTGGATTTTTTTTTCCTACCCAATTTTGAGGCATAACAAATGATGAATAAGATTAAGTTTTAACAATTAATGATCGGGGCGTCAAAGGCACAAAGGCACAAGTGCACGTTGTCAATGGAAGCAGGGGTTTCTGCTGGCCCACGTTTGAGCTGGATCAGGTGGTTTGAAGCCAGAGGTGGATGTGGGGTGGGTGCCCCATCCCTACAGACAGACATGTCAGGCTGGAGGGGCTCTGAGCACTGATGGAGCTGTAGGTGTCCCTGCTCAGGGCAGGGCAGTGGGACCAGATGGCCTTTAAAGGTCCCCTCCAAATCAAATGGTTCTATGATTAATGCCTTGGAGGTGCTTGTGGAGAAGTCTTGTGGGGACGTCATGAATGACAGCAAGATGCCAACAAATGTGCCCAGGAAATATTGCGCTGGAAGCTTACATTGTGTTTTCTTTGGCACTAGTGGCATCTTGAGGAGTGGTTTAGAGGAGGGCAGGATGTCTTTGCCCACTGTGTATTTGGGAATTTGCTCTTCTGAGCTGTAATGGGGATGTAGATTTGGGCTGCACTTGTTGCTGTGCTCTGGAGAAGCTCTCATCTCCCCAACATAGCGCTTGAGCACCTTCTGTGGCTGATGCAAAGGAGCGATGCTCATCTATATTCAGCAGCCAGGTGGGCATCCATATTCATTGAGCACCTCTCCGCCTCGCCTGCTTGTGCCACCTGTCCCCGAGGCCCCAGGCCCCATGTGAACACGCTGCCTGACAAGAGGAGCATGTCAGGACTGCCACGTCCCCCATGTCACTGGGAGCGTCGCCTTCTCCTGCAGCCAGCGGGACCAGAGAGAAAAACCCACAGCCACGAGGCAGTGCAAGGTTCTCCCCTTTGATTTCTCCTTGGGAATTATTTGCTGGCACAGCTCAGCCGCTCCGTGTTCGCTGTTTTTCTCGCAGATGTGCTCTGCGGACTCCCTGTGGTCTGCAGGCTGCAGGTGAGGGGCTCACTTTGATGCTCTTCAGAAAGCACTCGGCAGCGAGCTCTTTCTTTTGGAGATTGTTTTTGGAGCTGTTTGTTCCAGTTCTTCCCTATTTCAGTTAGCAATAGCATCCATGAACTCCTTGACTGGGTAGATGGATCAGCCTGATGACTGGGCTGAAGGTCTTCTCCAACACAGGTGATTCTACAGCTTCGGCAATGCCCAGCTCCTTGTAGTGGCCATGATAAGGAGAGGTTAATTTAGGAAAATGTAGGTTAGATGTGAGGAGGAAATTCTTCACTCAGAGTGGTGAAGTGCTGGCACTGCTGCCCAGAGCTGTGGGTGCCCCATCCCTGGAGGTTCCCCAGGCCACGGATGGGCCCTGGGCAGCCTGAGCTTTGGGAACAGCGAGCCCACAGCAGAGGGAGCTGGGGGGTTTTGAGGCCCCTTCCAACTCAGTCATACTGTGATTCTCTGAAAGAGGTGCTTTACACCTTTGCTGGGTGGGTTGGGCAGGATCTCCCAAATGAATCACTGCACATTATCAGTCCTCTGTACGCTGTAGGCGGCTGTTTGTTTGTTTTGCAGTGGCAATGACATATCTAGCAGTTGTTGTGGGTTTTGCACTTGATGGTTGGTTCTGAATCCATTGTATTTGCGTTTTGAAGCCATCAATTAGAGAGCTTGAAAGTTGCTGGGATGATAACGTGATGAAATACTGAAAAATGGTGATTTTTCATGCTGCATCAGTACTAGCCCCACACCTCCCATCTGCAGACTGCTGTTGCTTGCAAAGAGGGACAAAACCTGCCTTGTTTACAGAGGATGAAATGCAGAGCCCAGGAGAGGATGGGAGGAGCGGCATGTCCTTGGAACAGTGGAAGCACAGATGCAAACCCCACCTTGTCACATTGAGACACATGTTGAAGCTGAGGCTCTGCAGCTGGATGTCAGCGGCTTAACATCTGATATTTACCCTCTTTGACCTTTGTTTTTCTCTACTTCAAAACAATAAGCTCTGCCGGCTCGTGGCTGCTCTGAGCCCAGCCTGTGTCCTGGGAAACTCAGCTGCATTTAAAGGTAGCAGTGCACGGAACAGCAGGGCTGAGCCGAACATGCAGCAAACCTCCGTGTGTGCGTTTCTCCTCAGATCCCAGAGTGTCACTCATTGGGAGGAGCACAGTGTCCTATGAAATAGCTGGCCACTGGTAGCCCTGTCTCCACTGCCTTTGGGCCCTACATGGGGCCGCACATCTGCATCTCTTGGAGGAACCAGCTTATGAAAGAACCTCTGGGGATGGGAACTTTGGTGGTTCCTCACTGGAGCCACTCAATTCCCTGTTCACTGTTGGGGACAGTTGCCTGTTTGCACTGCCTTTTCCCTGTGCTTTCACGTGGGCATTGCTTTCCCCTTCTGCCTCTGTTTTTGTTCACAGAAAACCCTTCTCCTCTTGGCGCATGGTGTCAATGCAAATCAGTGTGACGTGCTCTGTGTGAATCATTCATGCTGCTCGCTGTCAGCCCTGTCTAACACAAGCCCCTGTAGGACCTGGCAGAGGGCTTCCAGTGGTACCCATTAGAAAACCTCTTTTAAATCACAAGCTTCTCCCAAGATAGAGGGTAATCATCAGCATCTGCCTCTGCTAAATGGATCGCTGATGTAAGGCACGACCTCAGCAGCACAGCGCCTAGACCCTCTGGCTGGCAGTGCCAGCCCTGCTACTTGCTTGTACCTTCTGTTTAAGCTCTAGCACCAGCTTACAGGGAGCACTTGCTGCTCTTGTTTTAGTTCCTTTACTCCTCTTAGGTAGATACCAGCTGATCCTCCTGTTCTGCACCTGTCTCATCTATCCTCTCCAAATCTCTAGGTGCCAGCTCTGTCCCTCAACCTTTCTGGAGGTGAAAGTGTTTTTCCTCAAGCTGTGATGCTCAAAACAGGAGCCGTGAGCCTCCCTCATGCTGAGCAAAGCAGAAGCATTACCTGGTGCCTTACAGATGGCATCTCTTGCTACACGGCCCACTACAACTGGCTTTCTTACAGCAGCACGCTACTGCTGCCTCAGCTTCAGCATGTGAGCCTCTTCCCACCCCATCTGCTGCTGCGTGTCATTTTATGACCATTTTGGTAGCTGGTTTGCTGGCAGTGTGCTTACTGGTGGTGAAAGGTGATTCTGTGGAGGTGGTTGGCTTCTTTGAAAGCATGGAAACCACAGCGTTGGTGCGACCTGTGCTATAGATAAGGCTAGTGAAGTACTGGCACAGGCTGCCCAGGGAGGTGGTGGGGTCACCATCCCTGGAGGTGTTACAGAACCATGGAGATGTAGCACTGAGGGATGTGGGCAGTGGGCATGGGATGGGGGTGGTGTTGGACGTGATGATCTTAGTGTTTTTTTCCAACCTCAATGATTCTATATATCCCCTCTGGACTCCAAGATGTTCCTGGTGTAATACAAGTGGGTTGCAGCATCTGTGATAGTTTTTCTCTTAGCCTTATTTTTATTTTTTTTTTCCCCAAATGAGGCTGCTCTGAGGATGCTTTCACATGGTTTCTTCTCCTATTAAAACTTGACCTTGGCCCTGCAGTGCTTTGAGCCAAAAACACCAATGAAGAAGAGGAATCTAGTGGTTGGCAACCCTGCTCATAGTATGAGGGTGGAAGCGGATGGTCTTTAAGGATCCTTCCAACCCAAGCAGTTCTATGGTTCTATGAATGCACAGCTGCAGCAGCAGCCTAGAGAAGGAAGGCTGCCCCAAGATCTCCTGCTGGGCACAGGAGTGGGAACGAAGAACGATTTGCAGGCATGGGAAGAGCAAACCATCTGCTCCTATGGCCTTGGCAGGCTGGGCATGGGGTATGGATGCTGCCTCACTGGTGTGAGAACAGATGGCACTGAGCTCCCACCACAATTTCTAGCCCTTCCATCCATCTCTCAGTGCCTGCCATGGGTATTCCCAAGGCAAGTGGTGACACTGGGTCCTACACAGCCCCACATTTGGCACAAGGTGGGTTTCACTATGGCAAGGGAATTTTTCCATGCTGGAGGCTTGAATGTGCCTGTGCAGATCTGCGGACCTTCCATAGGACTGGGGAGTGATGCCGGATCTCTTTGCAAAGCCAAACAGTGCTGTTTCACGGGGCACAACCTAACACCATAGGGAGCAGCATCCTTCATGGCAGCCAGCTCCGTGCTTGGAGCGTTCCCAGGCGGCTGTCAGTCAGCACGGCCAGCCCTGCGCTCACTGCACAGCGCTATCTCTACCCGCTGCTGCAAATTGGCTCTGAGCAATCCTTGATCTGTCAGCATCGCCTACCCACTCTCAGATGTCACCAGCCCCCGCTGCTGCCCTGCTCGGTAACGTATCTCACTGAAATGTAATAATTCATTAAGTTGAGTTTAACTTTTCCCTCCTCCCCTCCCCCCCTTCCTCCTCCTAATGGACAAAAGCAATTAGGCTCCATTAGGGAGCAGGAGTGTGGGAAGCATCTCCCTCGGAGCTGCTGCCACAGCAGAAAGGACCGTTGTGTCCCTGGGTGTGTGTGCGTGTGGCACCAGCTTCTTGCAGTCAGGGTTCTGCAAGGCAATGCTTGGCCATGGGGAGATGGCGCTTTGGCTTTCATTTCTCTTGGCTGCAGGGGGCTGGGGGCTTTCCTGTGCAAACCATGCCCAGCCGAGCCAGGCTCAATGAGATTGCTGGAGAAGATGATACAAAGACACGGGTCACACCAGGGCACAGCATCAGTGGGGTAAAGGCACGGTCCCCACTGGCTCTGGCTGCCGATGGCATCTTCTCTCTCCTTGGCATCTCCATGTTAGCAGTGCACAGAAGCTGGCGTGGGGGATGAAGCGCAGCCAGCACCATCCTGCCTTTCCCCCGCGCAAGGCAAGGAGCTGTTCCACATGCCGTGCCCAAAGCGAGTGCCTTTCCCCGCCGGCTGTGGGAGGTGCTCCCCGCCCTCCTTCCCTCCACTTAGGCTGCTTTTCTCTTCCTTTCCTTTTGTTCTCTCCCCCTTCCCTGCCCCAGGAAGAAAGTCTCATTTTGGGCTGAAAGCTGGAGCTGGAAGGAGAGAGTCATTTGATGCTCAATGCCGGAGCGGCAGGAAACTTCACCTTCCTGGGGTGGAATTAAAAATGCTTGAATTGTCTGCGGATCTTAAACAAGAGATGCAGGGAACATTTCAGGGCTTTTCACACAAACACATGCTCACACACATGCAAAAGCCCACACAGCATTAAGGGTGTAATAGCTCAGCTGGGGTGATGCACTTGAACTCCCCCTGCAGCAGACAGACCAATTCTTTCAGTTATTTGGAATATTCTAAGATTGGAGATTGCTGCTGGGCTCCAGGGAGAGAGATGTTTGTCTTGTAGCTTGTTCTCCACAATCGTGTTCCTCCTGGTGTGCAATCCAAGTCCTGCAGGACTTGGGAACATCAGCCAGCAAATTCCATCCCGATGATGAGAAAGGGTGTGCTGGGGGATGTCTGGGGCAGGGGGTGCCCCCTGTGTGCCAACCTGCTCCTTGCTAGAGTTGTAACGTGTGAATGGATATGCCCCAGGTGCTTGGTGTGTGTCAACGATGGGTATGGTATCTAGAACGTTTGGATGTGTTTAGGAGTGGATGTAAGCACATGGATGCTGCCATATCCATGCACATTAGAAGCTGTGTGAGCAGTGGGCATGATGTTAGCTCTGAGGTCCTTAGGATGACAACAGGAGTATCTCAAATCGTGGGAAGAACCTCCAAGGAGAGGCTGGAGAGAGAAAGGAAGATCCCCAGTCAGAGCCTAAAAGCATGTACCCTAGTGAATGGTATTGCAGGAGAGAGCCCAGAGAGGTGATGGATGTCCCATCCTTAGAGACATTCAAGGTCAGGCTGGATGGGACTCTGAGCACCTGATGGAGTTGTAGGTGTCCCTGTTCATTGCAGGGAATTGGACTAGATGGCCTTTAAGTGTCCCTTCCAACCCAAACAACTCTATGATTCTATAAGAATCCCACTTCATTGTGGCTTGCTGGAGATTGAGAGGGAACCCAGAGCAAATTTGCCAACTGGTGTGGAACTTGGAGCAAAGGAAGTGTTTGGCAACTGTTGCTGGAGAAGCAGATGAACCTTGGATGGAGCATCACCCGCCTTCTTCCCCGTGCACTGTGTGCTTCCTGTGCACAAAGAGCTGAGAGCTTCCCAGTGCTGTTTCTCTGCCCTCTTTGCTCATCCAATGCTTCTCAAGAATGAATCCACTATCCAAGGACTGTTCCTTCTGATTCAGCCAACCCAACTCTTGGCATGCTGGCTTTGGCCATCGGTTGGGTGACAACAGCAGAAACAGCTGTGACTGGAGGCAGCGAGGTGAGGGGTGTGTGCTGTGGATGGGTTGTCCATGGGACCCCTGTGTGTGCTCTCATCACCACTCTGTGCTATTGCAGGGAGTTTGCCAAAGAACGTGAGCGCGTGGAGAACCGCCGGGCCTTCATGAAGCTGCGGCGACAGCAGCAGATCGAGCGGGAGCTCAACGGCTACCGGGCCTGGATAGACAAAGCGGGTAAAGGGCTGGGATCCCAGGGGGCGGTGGGAATGCAGGGTGGTTGGGATGGAGAGTGCTCTCCTTGCAGCCCCAAGGTGGTCCTGGTGCTCACAATGGGCATGTGGGTGAGCTCAGCCCCGGCAGACATGATGGCAAGTTGAACTTGTGAGTGAACGGAGAAGAGATGTTGTGATCAGCAAAAGGAGTTAGCAGAGGGCAAGGAGCCCTTCAGAAATCTCACAGGGATACGTGGAGGGTTTTATTCTGAAAGCATGACTCAGAAACAAGATTTTCTATCTACAGTATTCAGCTTATTTAGTTATTATTTAGTTATTGTTTAGTAGGGTCGATCAGAAGTCATTTCTCATTCTGATGTGAAATGTGGCAGCTGCTCCTTGTCACCCCTGAGAATTTGCTTTTGGATGCTTACTCTTTAGCTGATGAGAGTTTGCACCCTCTAGCAACCACTTCCAGGCCAGGCAAAGTGCTTAAGTCTGATGTGCTCAGCCAATGGTGGCTTGTCTCCTGATGCTGAGCTGTGTGTTTTGCATAGAGGAAGTCATGCTGGCTGAAGAGAACAAAAACGCTGGGACCTCAGCCTTAGAAGGTAAGAGAACATTCTGCAAAAGCACCTACTGCCCTTCCTTGTGCCTTAAACCCTCCTCTGTGAGTGGAGAAGGGCCTACAGATGCTCCATTGGGGTTTACAGCCCAGTGGAGGGATGGGGGGAGATGGATGGCTCCTGAGGCCAGGAGATGGCTGCTCCTGCAGAGGAGTATCTCTGGCCTGGGGTCAATTGAGTGTGATCATATCTCCATCCCATGCCCAGACCTGAATTCACCAAGTACTGATCATGGTCCTATGATCAGGTTGCTGGCAGAGCTGGCCCACCATGGTCCAACCCTGTTCTTCTTTCCAGTGCTCAGGCGAGCCACCATCAAGAGGAACCGGACAGATGCCATGAACCGTGACTCCAGCGATGAGCACTGCGTCGATATCTCCTCCGTGGGCGAGCGGAGGCTGGCACAGAGGAGGCCTCTTCATCCCACCTTGGGTCAGTGCAGTTCGAAGCTTTCCTCCCCCAAACATCTGACAGCACACTGAGTTGTGGTGGTTGCATACAGCACGGTCGGACATCCTTTTGCCGTTGTGTTGGGAGCCAGTTGACTCACCTCCATGTTGCAATGAAGGCTGGAGATCCCAGCTCCTCTTCGCACCTTGGCAGCCCTTCTTTTCCCTCAGGTAACCCTCTGAGTCGCTCTGGTCTCAAAGGAGTGGATGGAGCCTCTTATTTACGGCACAAGGAGCGGCTCCTGCGTATCTCCGTTCGCCACATGGTGAAATCCCAGGTCTTCTACTGGATTGTCTTGAGCCTGGTGGCTCTTAACACTGCCTGTGTGGCCATCGTCCATCATAACCAGCCGGCCTGGCTCACACACTTCCTCTGTGAGTCCCTGGGTTTGGTGCAGGGGTTGTGTTTATCCTGAAATTGTGAGCAATGGTGAATGGGAATCTGACTGGAGCTCTTTTTGAATGCCTACAGTTGCAGGGTCTGAGCTGGGAAGGTGTGAGTGTGTGTGGATGAGGCTGAACAATGGTCATGAAAGAACTTTCCAGCTGAAGTTTTGGTTCAGATCCCAATGACATTGGGGATCCCAATGACAGTGACTGGGGCATCCCCCAGTCTGCTGTGGGCTGTGGTACAAAGGGTCTCAGTGGCAGTACATGTATGCCCATTCTGGCATGGTGCAACCAGCAGAGCAGTGTGGTCAACCCCACGAAAGTCATGTGTTACTTCCAAGCTGTTGCAGAAGGGACAGTGCTGCTTTCTCATCCATGTTACTCTTATTCACCTTGAAAACGTCCCCAGCAAGCCCCAGGCCTGCCCAGTCTGCATTAGCATGCTCAGGCTTGCTGGGATCCCAGCACGACACAGTGTGGTGTGGCAGCTGGTCGTGGTGAGAAGCATCTTTTGGACAAGGTGAAAAGCCAGACCGTTGCCTGCTAATGTTTGTGAAATAGCTTGAGAAGCTTTTTATTGGCTTGTGGCTATTTGGCTTAGTTACCCTGGCCAAGTTCCAGTTGTGCAATGATTTAGATCCAAACTGCTAATATTCCCCTACAGGGCAGTGTGGTTAACATCTTGGAGGATGCTCCAACAATTGTCATATGATGTCAAGGAACTGCTTTGCTCCATGATAGCCCTCACTTGTCCTCAGTGCCCCCTGGGGCACCAATGCATCTGCCCTGAAAAATTAACACTGTGGGACTGGTGCTCTGTTATTTACGTTTAGCTCCTTGCATACTTGCTTCTGAATTCCATACCTTGGGGAGGCAGCGTGCTCCTTGACTCGTCCCACCTCTGTGATGTTGCTATGTGGGCCTCTGGTGGGTGCATGCACGCTGCTTTGTGCCCCGAGGGTAGCACATCTGGGTTTTTGCTTTCAGACTATGCAGAGTTCCTGTTTCTTGGGCTCTTTCTCCTGGAGATGTCCTTGAAGATGTATGGGATGGGGCCACGCCTGTACTTCCATTCTTCATTCAACTGCTTTGACTGTGGGGTAGGTGGCTCCAGGGATGCTGCAGGCCAGGGAATATATTTAGGGTTGTCTACAGAGCAAGGGACCGATGAGGACATGGTCCTTGAAGGGGCCAGGACAACCAAACTGGAACACCAGGTTTTGGGGCAGGGAGGTGGGTGCTTTGCTCTCAAGAATGGCAAAGCTTCCTGCAGCAGCCTGTCCTGAGCTCATCTGGGCCATGTCTGTTTCTCAGGTCACAGTGGGAAGCATCTTTGAAGTGGTTTGGGCCATCTTCCGACCGGGGACCTCTTTTGGGATCAGTGTCCTACGAGCCCTTCGTCTCCTGCGAATATTTAAAATAACCAAGTGTGTACCAACCATTTGTGCCTGTCACTCTCCACCTTGGGCTGTGGCTGCAGCCCAAGTCCAGTCACTCCTGCTGGCATTGCTGCAGGTGCTCAGCGCTGTCTCTGTTTTCTAGGTACTGGGCATCCTTGAGGAATTTGGTGGTCTCACTGATGAGCTCCATGAAGTCTATCATCAGCCTGCTCTTCTTGCTCTTCCTCTTTATTGTAGTCTTTGCCCTGCTGGGAATGCAGCTGTTTGGAGGGGGGTAGGTTGTTGCGGGTCTTGGGGAAACTGAGCTTTGCTGGGTGATTTAGAAGCTAAGAGATTATACCCTTGTGGGTGCCAGGAATTCTGCAGCCGTGCTCCTCAGCCTGTTGCTACCAGTGGCAAGTTTCCCACACAAAAGTCCCTGCTTGTGAAGTGCCTTAGGGCTATGGGAAGCCTTCTGGACATGATATATTTATTCTGTGTTTTGGCAATACGTGACCAGCAGATCTTCCCTAGAGTGGGTGAAAGTCCTTCTAAGTATGAATAAGCAGCCTATGTTTTGATGGCCTCTTTACTTGAGCTTGCTCATATCCTTCTGGTTCCACTTCCAGGTTTAATTTCATCGATGGGACACCATCAGCCAACTTTGACACTTTCCCTGCGGCCATCATGACGGTGTTCCAGGTAGGAGCTGGGCTGCAAGGGGAAAAAGCCGGATGGGTTTGGGGCCATCTGCTCACTGCACCCTGATTGATTGGCTTCTAAACCAAGCAGGTCTCCCTCCATCGTCTGCTAGGACATAACTTGCAGATGTCTCTCTTTGTCATTATACACGATGGAAGAGTTTCAAAACACTTCTCAGGAGACCTAGTCCCTCAGCAGTCTGATATTCACTCCCTCAAGACTGTGCCTGTAGAACAGGTCTTCATACTCAGCTCTTGCCCTGTCTGGAATGGGTTGATGGGACTGTCCAGGTGGTGAGAAGGTGGCTGGTGACAGATCTGCTGGCTTTCTTTCTGCAGATCTTGACGGGTGAAGATTGGAACGAGGTGATGTACAACGGCATCCGCTCCCAGGGAGGCGTTCGCTCGGGCATGTGGTCCTCCATCTATTTCATCGTCCTCACCTTGTTTGGGAACTGTATCCACCTGGCCACTGCGCTTTTTGCAGAAATAAACCCATCTCATCTCCCTCTTTGGGGCATCCACTCTCCCCACCACTGTTCCTTCCTCTTTTACCCATTGAGGGGGAGACCCATCACACGTGGGGCATTCTCGGATGTCCCAAACATTGATAAGGAGCTGTCTGGAGATGCACTGTGGGTGGTTCAAATGGGATGGGTGAGGCGTTTGTCCTTGTGGTTGCTCCTCACTAAGCTGTGAGGAGCCATCAGGGCCAACCTCCCTCGGTGGCTGCAGATGCCCATGTCCTTAACACGTGGCTTATGCATCCTTAGCTGCTCACAGATACTCTGCTGAATGTCTTCTTGGCCATTGCAGTGGACAACCTGGCTAATGCTCAGGAGCTCACCAAGGTAAATTCCAGTTGCTTATTTTTCTTCTTACTGGTGGAAAGGGTGGGTGAGAGGGGATGGCACCAGGAGCAGTACCTGTGACCACTTTGCCCCTTAGCTCAGCTCAACTTGCAAAGAGGTCGTCTCAAAGTGGACGTGGGTTTCTCCCTCTAGGAGAGCTCACAGGAGAGTTCCCTGTGAGATACCAAACCCTATCACTGGACCTTGGTTTGGGGACCTTGGTTGGGAACCTGCTGCTCTTGTGGCTCTCCTGAACACTCACACTTCACATCAAGTGTGGCCTAACCATTTCTCCACATAAGTTCCCCAGCTTTGTTTGCTCGCAGTCACACTGAGATAACTCTCATCTATCTGGTGTGGGTTGTTATTTGCTGGAGATGTGGCAGCGAAGTGCTTTCCAGCGATGTCACTATTTACTCCACATCTGCCTGCAGGGCAATGGAGTGATTTAGAATGCAATTTAGGATGGCTCTTGAGAAACTTATTGGGCTTGACTGCTTTTAAGACCATGCTGGGAAATATTTGAGAAAGGCTAAATGTTGGGGCACCTTTTGGGCAAAGGCAAGGAAGCGAGAGCTGCGGGGGTCATTGCTGCTCTTCAAACGTGACCAGCTACCCCATGCTGCCTGCTTTTGCAGAGCTCATGCCTATTCCTCAGCTTATGTAGGCTCACACTGTCCCATTGTCCCTGTCCTCCCATGGGAGCAGATGATGATGGCAGCTTGGACTATCACCAAGAACTGGTGTGGTGGCAAAGCTGTGTCCCCATAATATGAGACAAGACATTTCTGCATGGTCCCCCTTTCTCTTGGCCCCTGTGATGGGTGCGCATTCCCTTGAACTGTTGGCCTCGCACTGAGCAACCCCTCTGTTTCCTTTGTAGGATGAGCAGGAGGAAGAGGAGGCCTTTAACCAGAAGCATGCCCTTCAGAAAGCCAAGGAAGTCAGCCCCATGTCTGCCCCCAATATGCCTGCTATTGAGTGAGTGACCCCATTCACCCTGAGCCTCCCTTTGCTTCCCAAGCCCATCCCTTGGGATGGATGGAGATGGATATGTGCTCCCCATGAAGCAGAGACCAGATCACCAAGAGGCCCTGGGCTGCCCCCAGGCAGAGCCTCACATGGCAGAAATCTCCCCAGAGTGGCTTTCTGCCCCAAAACATAAAGCCTGGATACTTGAAGTTGCAGCTAAGGGTAAGAAATGAAGTCAGAGAGGAGGAGATTGGTGGTGATCACTCCCGCAGAGCAGATCCAAACCTCCCTGGGCTCCTTTCCTGGCTGTAATGCAGTTACATGAGATGGAGCAGGTTTGCAAAATCACGTTTCATTGTGCAGAAATGTCATTTGGGAAGGAAAAAGCCCAAAACCGCATAAAGCTCCCAACACAATGTTAAAGAGCCCTGCCTCTGCATTTCAGCAGATGAAAGTTGTTTTTCCTTCCTAGACGCCTTTTTTTTCCCTTTATTTTGCCGTGTCATATGGTCTAAATCATATAAAACTTTCAAAGTCAACATTGGAACGAGGCGTTTTGATTTGTTTCCCAAAACAGTACATTTCAGTAAGGCTGAAGGGATTCATTTTTTAATTTTATTTTTTTTTTATAGAATCCCTTCCCAGGGAATTTTAGGTTTCATCATGCTTTGAAAACAAGCCAGGTTCGCACACGGCAGAGTCTCCAGCAAATCTGCTGAGAGAAATCTAGGCAAGCTCCAATGCACAGTGTTGGAGGAAGTGGCAAGATTCATCTTAGACATTTGGGATCTGTCCAAGATCCCTGGCTCCTTGGATTTGCAGCAGTGGGATGTGATGATTCCCTGTCCTGAAAGCGTGCCTGCTGGTTTTGAGGTCATGTACCTGTAAGATATGCCTGAGGATGAAGGGATATTCATCGTAATAGAGAAATCCATACAAGCAGGATTTGGGGATTTATGGGCAAGATGGCAGAGCTTGTGTGTTGTGATGAGCTTTAGCTGCCCACCTGAATGCTAAAGTGAGAGAAGACAGAAATTTGGGCTGGAGAATGGAGAAAAATGGAGGATGGAGAGAGATGGAGAATGGAGAGGAAGAGGTGAGAGATGGAATGTGTGGGGACACCAAAGGATTTGTCCCCTCTGCACATCCTTGCTAGTCTTACAGCTGTTGCCAAATATAGCTGGTTAGGAAAGCAGATTTTCTTAACTTTAATGTTGTTGTTCCACTGGCATTTAAATGGGAGATATGGATATTTGCAGGTCTTTTTCCCTGTTCCTCCCCCCGCCTGGGATGGATAGTTTCAAGGGTTGCAGTGGTGCAAGCGTGACATTTTCCAGGGTCAATTTGGATGTCCCACTGATGCCAGCAGCCGGCGGGGGGACATGGTGGGGAAGTAGCAGGAAGGGGCATGCAAGAGCAGAGCTGGTGCCAAAGGGCCACAACAGTGCAGCAGAAGTGCTCTCGGCGTTCGGGCGTGCGCAGACACAGATGGCTCAATTCCTACGTGGGTACGCGGTGCGGGCAGGTTGGGTTGCGCGCATTGATGCCGGCAGCGAGGTCCGACTGTGGTTGGGAGGAGTGCTCCCACGTGGCCATGCTGGTGTGGGTGGCTGCGGTGCAGATTGGAGCACTGTGTGTGTGCACACGGGCGCCCGCGGTGCAGATGGCTCGGGCTGCTCGGTGAGTGGGAGGCCTGATGGACAGACGCATGCGGGTGCTGCAATGTGCAGGTGCCCAGAGCGCTGCGCGGCCACTTGCTGAGGGAACGACAGCCGTAGCTGAGCCGTGTGCCCTGAGCGTGGAACTGGGCTGTTCATGTGTGTGGGGCTGTGATGTGGCCCTGGCATGGCAATGGGACTGTATTGGGGGCTGAAGGTGTCAGTGCCCCTGGTGAAAGCAGCTGCCCAGAGAGCTGTGGATGACCTGTCTCTGGAAATGCCCAAGGCCAGCTTTGATGGGGCTCTGGGCAGCCTGATCTAGTGCTTGATCTAGCAGTTGGCAACCTTGCCCGCAGTACAGATGATCTTCCTTTGCTTTCTATAATTCTGTGATGCACAGAACCTTACATACATGAGCTCTGCATGCACCTGAGGGTGAGTTTGGTTGTGCGTTCTTACACATATACGGCATTTGCAAAAAGCAAAAAATGTAAATCAGTGTATGCGTATTTGCATATATCAGCTGCGTGTCCCACTCTGTGGTCACACGGTAGCACACATGGCTGCGTTAACACATGGTGATGCTCTGAGCATCACAGGGCCAGCCCGACACATCACCTCCTCTGTAAAAATGCTGCGTGTTACTAGAAGTGAATAGCTCTTTCCGCTTGGAGTATCCAAGGACCAGGACTTCGAGGCAGCTTGTTTGGTCACATCTTCCTTTCTCCCCAGCCCAGCTCTGCAGCCCTAGCACAGGCACTGCAGCGTGTATCCCCTTGGCGAGCAGTCCATGTGTCCTGGTGGGATGTCCAAATGGGGCACAGGTGTGTGAGCATATACCGACCTTGTTGCTGGTGTGCAAGCACGGACAGGCAGCAGTTTGCTGGTAGTTCCTTGCTCCAGTGTCCATGCGCCCTGGGGCACCTCTGTGCACAGCCTGCAGTGATGGAGGAGGGCTGGTGGGGATTGAACGGGTTTGTTTTTCCTCCCCAGAAGAGACAGGCGCAGGAGACACCACATGTCGATGTGGGAGCCACGCAGCAGCCACCTGTACGTGGGTCGCGTGTCGTCTATGGCTCCTGTGCTGTTGGGGCAGCTCCTGCCCGTGTGTGGGGTGCTTGGGGTGCTCCCCTGCACCCGTGTCCCTGCGTGCGTTCGTGGCTCTGTGCATCTGTGTGTCGGTGTACCCGTGGGTGTGTGCAGCGTGTGCTCCGGGGGAGAGCGGCGTACGCGCGTGCACGTGTGTGTTTCTGTGTGCCTCGGTGTGTCGGGAAGGGGAACGTTTGTCCTCCGCAGGGTGTTTGTGTTTAGGGAGGTGTCAGGGATCCTAGAAGGCAGAATACAGAGGAGCTCTGGTTATGCAGGAAGCCAACAGCTGCAGCCTCAAATCCTCCATGTAGTCCTCCCATGGCATGTGTCAGCCCAGCTGTGCAGGCAGGGAAGGGTTCCTGTACCCGGTGATGTGCTCCATCGCACGTCTCAGCAGCAAGGGCCATCTCTCGTAGAGAAAGGCTGCTCTTGGACCTGACATCTTATCCCTTTTTGCTCTCCATCTCCATCCTATGAGCATGGCCACACAAGCATGATCATCATTAGGGCAGTATTGCTTCCAGAAGGAGCCTGGCTCTAAGGAGCTGGAGAAGCAAGGGCACTCCCAGTGCTGCAGCAATAGGACTTTGTCCCTGTTTCTTTGAAGAGACCTCATTGTAACCTTTCAATGCTTAAAGAGAAATTATAAAAAAGGGATGGAGACTCACTTTTTACATGGTGACAGTGATAGAATGAGAGGGAATGCCTTTAAACTAAAAGAGGGGAGACTTAGATGAGATGTTAGGAGGAAATTGTTCACTCAGAGTGGGGAGGTGCTGGCATTGCTGCCCAGAGCTGTGAGTGCCTCATCCCTGGATGTGCTGCACGCAATGGATGGGCCCTGGGCAGCCTGAGCTGCTGGGTGGTGTCCCTTTCTCCTGGGAGAGAGGGGTAGAAATAAATGGGCTTTAAGGTCCTTTCTGACCCAGACCATTCTATGGTTCTATGGTTGAAAGTGGTGTTGTCAGGCAAGCAAGACGATTGTGGTTGGTCACCACCTAGTTGGCATGGGGCAGGTGTGGGTCCATCATCCTGCAGTCCTGTAGTCTTTTGAAGGAGCAGGTGGTCAGGCTCAGCCAAATTGCCAGCCCCTGCCTGCACCAGAAGGATGCCCAAAGGCTGGGAACTAAGTCTTGGGGGCTGGGCAGGTGTTTGTATCCCCAAACTCCGTGTCTGGTGACTTGTGTGCACCCCCATGTCTTGTCACGGGGGCTGTGGGTGCATGCAGCAGGGATGGGATGGGGTGACATGCCAGCACTGGCGGGGACATAGGTGACATGATTGTCCCCGCTGCAGGCGGGAGCGGCGCCGGAGGCACCACATGTCGGTGTGGGAGCAGCGCACCAGCCAGTTGCGCCGGCACATGCAGATGTCTAGCCAGGAGGGCATCAATAAGGATGAGCCACCCCTCATCAACCCACATGCCAGCATCTTCCGCCGCAAGAAACCAGGGGACGGCGTTGCCTTGGAGAAGTGCGATGAGGAGCAAGGTGGCAAGGGAGAGCGGCCGCCAGCTGAGGGTCCCGAGCAGCCGGCCCCGGGAACCAACCCAGGAGGTGGGGAGGACAGGAGGAGCCCATCGCCCCGTGCCAGGAGGGACAAGGAGATGTGGCAACACAAAACGTGCCATGGGAACTGCGAGCCGGGTGAGGAAGGGGCAGGAGGTGGCATTGAGGAGAGGGCGCGGATGAGGCAAAGCCAGCGGCGCAGCCGGCATCGAAAAGCCAGGATGGAGGGGAAGGAGCCGACTGGAGCCCTGGAGAGCCGAGCAGGTAGCCAGGAGATGGGGCTGGAGGAGCCCTGCCCCGCAGAGGGGATGCAGGATGGGGAGCGGCGTGGGGATGCTGCCGCAGCACTGGACCTGATTCAGGGCGAGCCGGATGCGACTGGGGACCCCACCAGGTTGGTCGCTGGGGGACATTTTGCAGTCCTTGTGACTCCTTGTGTCATTGCCTTCCACTTATTTTCTCTTTTTTTTGCCCCAAAGGACCAATGGGGCTCCAAACGAGGAGGGAAGCCTCCCAGCATCAGCCCCTGAGCCCCCTCGGGGGATGGAGGGCAGCCTGGGCGAGCAGGACTGCAGCAGCCCAGACACCAGTGAGCAGGCCCTGCTTGGGGGGGCAGCACTGGGGGCCAGCCGCACTGTCAGCCACAGCGAGCCTGACCTGTCCTCCGTCACCGCCAACACCGAAAAGGCCACTGAGAGCACCACCATCATGATTGATGTCCAAGACTCCACTGTGGTACAGAGTGAGGACCACTCTCTCTTTCCTGAGCACACGCAGGGGGGAGCTGAAGGCTGCTCATGTGGCTTTCCCCATCCATATCCATGGGGTGGGTGGGGGTGTCCATCCCATCATCCCATGTCATCCCTCCCGGTGTCCCCACAGCAGGGAGTGGGGCAGGTCTGGGGCAGAAGCTGCCCCTCACCTCACTTGGCTGCAGGCAAAGGCTCTCATTTCTCTGCAGTTAGCAACAAGACCGATGGAGAAGCCAGCCCCTTGAAGGAGGCTGAGAGCAAAGAGGATGAGGAGGAGATGGAGAAGAAGAAGCGAAAGAAGGAGAAGAGTGAGACAGGCAAAGCGATGGTGCCACACAGCTCCATGTTCATCTTCAGCACCACAAACCCGTGAGATTTTCTTGTTTTTGGCTTTCGTACAGCCCACCTCTACCGTGTCCACTGCCCACATCCCTCAGTGCCACATCTCCATGGTTCTGTAATACCTCCAGGGACAGTGGCCCCACCACCTCCCTGGGCAGACAGTGCCAATGCACACCACTGTTTCTGAGAAGAACTTTTTTCTAATACCCAACCTGGATGGCCCAGGCCTGAAAGCCTGGAACAGTTCATGGCCTTTGCACACGTGGGGCACATGGGGTGGCTGTAACAGATGGGGATTATCTTGCCATAGGGTGCGCAGAGCCTGCCACTACATCGTGAACCTGCGCTACTTCGAGATGTGCATCCTGCTGGTCATCGCCGCCAGCAGCATCGCCCTCGCGGCTGAGGATCCCGTCCTCACCAACTCCGACCGTAACAAAGTGATTGCAAATCCCCTTTCTGTATACCTCCAAAATGGGGCTTGTCTTGTGGCTGCTCTGGAGGAGCCTCAGTGAGCCTCTTTTCTGGGAAGCTGCTGCAAAGCACCCGTGTCCTCTCTCTGCAGGTGCTGAGGTATTTTGACTATGTTTTCACTGGTGTGTTCACCTTCGAGATGGTTATCAAGGTAAGACAGCTGGCTGTGCTGGTGGTGGTGAGGGGAGCGAGCATCTTGCGTGGGAAATAGCTCAGGTTTTCCACTCTGGTCCTGAATTTGATGATGGAAAATTGAAAGGCTGGTTCTTAGCAGTAGGATGAGAGAACTCAGTACTGCTTACATCAGCATCCAGACCCCCTTGAAATGCAATGCTTCTGGATCTCAACCCTACCCCGGCTGGGTAGCTGGACAGCTTTAGCTGTGTGGCCGAGCTGCTGCCCTCCTGCCTGTTTTTGTCCCCCCAGATGATCGATCAGGGCTTGATCCTGCAGGATGGCTCCTACTTCCGAGATCTCTGGAACATCTTAGATTTCATCGTGGTGGTGGGAGCTCTGGTGGCCTTCGCCTTGGCGTGAGTGGCTGTCGTCCTTGTGGGCTCTGCTTGGCTGGGAGGGGGGAGGATGTGACCGTGTGTTATAGCTGCAAGACCACAATCTAGGGGGAAGTTCTCTGTGATTTTGTGCTCTGAGAATAGCTTCTTACCGCTCTGATGGCCAAAAGCTGTGCAGCTTCAGGGACTTGTTAGATAGATGAGAACAAAGAGTGTCAGAGCTGGAGTTGTACGTGTGCAATGCACTCCAGGGTGCACTAAACCAGCAAAGGCAGCACTCTGTGTGGTGGAGCTGCTCTCTGAATGCATCTGTGCTGGAAGTTGTGCTCTCCAGCTGGTGGCTTTCCCTCTGCTCTGAGGGTGGACATCACCCCATAGCCCTGCGGGGACAGGGATGTGGTCAGCAGGGGTTGTGCCCATATTCTCTGCATTGTCAGCATTGTGGCTTTTCCCTGCCCCCAACCTCTCGGGGGACAGAGAGATCCCCTTTGACATGGGGCCACTGAATTCTCTTTTGCACCCCCATGGAGGTTTGGGTTTCCCCACAGGCATGGCAGGAGCTCTCTGAGCTGGTCTGTGGTGCCCTCTCACCCTACAGGCATCAGTGCCATCCCACAGTAAAAAACAATGCCCACGTGTCTGCCTGTAAAGCCACATCTCCGGGTGATGTTGCTGTTTGTCTGCTGCCCACTCACTGCACCCACTTTCCAAGTAAGAGGCCGCCTATGCCTGCCTCTAGTCCGCAGCTCTCAGCTTGGAAAGCTAATACATCACCTTGAATGCAGCTTAAATAAAAAGCCTGACATACCACTGTAAATCTCCAAAGAGCTGTAATTAAATTAGCTGGAATATCCAGCACCATAACTAAAGACCCTGCTCGCTTTTGCCTCCTGTGGCACCTTCAGAGGAGGCATTAGCTTGCAGCTCTGAGAGCTGTGGTAAGACCCGGCTTGTGGGTTTGCAATGGGAGGGAAGGTTGAGTGGTGCTCAGAGCATGGCCCTGTCTGTCTCACCTGGTGTACAAGGGCAGAAGCACCCTGCAGAGCTGCCTCCTCCTCTGTGCTTTTCCTTGCACCACTGGACAGAAGCCATGCCTATGGGTGGACGTGATGGATGTCCTCCTGCCTCAGGTCCCTACCCTGGCTGTGCTGCTGGAAGCTGTTGCCATCACGCACAGCTCCCAAAATGCTTTCCTTTCTTTCTCTCTCCTCTCTTTTCCGTTCTATTCACGCTGTTCGGTGGCTTGGGCTGGATTACCAACAGGAATGCTTTGGGGTAACTATGCTGTCTGAGTGTCCACGGGGGGGAATGGGAGGAGGGCAGGTGTCTGTCTGTCTGTCTGACATCTGTGCTGACCCTTAGCTGTGTTCCCAACCACAGTTCCTGGGATCTGAGCTCGCTGCTCTGCGTGTTAAAAGTGGAAGTCCTAGGGCTGTTACTACAGTCACTTTCTTGAGTATTAATTAGTGGCTTTGTTTACATCTTTTAATGATTAAGCGCATTAATGTGCTCCCTGTAGCATTAACCCTTGCAGAAGAGCTGTGTGGTTCAGGGTATCTGTTGTTGTAAGATGTTTCTTTGATGGTTTTTAAGCTGTGCCACCTTCACCAGGATTGTTCTGCTCTACCTTGCGCTCCAGCCCATGGGCTTTGGTTAGAAGACGAGAAAAAAAAAACACGTTGTGGGTGGGACTGATCACCACATTCAATAAATTAGAGTCACAGAGCTGGCCCTCACCACAGAGCATTGCCCCATGTTCTCCTCCCCATGCTGGGGGTATAACATCCAGCCCTGGAGCTGGAACGTTATTGTCTCTCTGTTTCATCTTTGGGTGCCTGTGCCTCCCTCCCACGTGGCAGGACCAACAAGGGTCGGGATATCAAGACCATCAAGTCTCTCCGTGTGCTGCGGGTCTTGAGGCCCCTGAAAACCATCAAGCGGCTGCCGAAGCTCAAGGTAACTGCACTACATGGGCTTGACGTCTGCCTCCTCCAGCATTAGCATCAATTTGCTCCCAAGCGATAAACAAGTCGCTTTCCAAGCACTTGCTGCATTTTAGGAGCCCTGTTTTCAAACACGGCTCCTTTCAGACTGCTGCACATTGGGGTGTGCAGAGTTATTCAAAGCAAGCCCAGCTGTGGATAGATCTGAGCTGATTCCTCTGCTAGGGATACTGGGGCTGGTGTGGAACCAGGCTGCAAAGCCCAGCTCTCCTGATAAAGTACATGGCCCTGGCTTTGGGAGAGCTCAGATCTCTATCCAAAGTTCATTATCTTTCCCACCAGAGCAGCTTGCAAACAACTCCATTTTTGTGTGTTGTACTGTCCTCGTGTTACAGCAGAAGGGGATTTCCCAGTTGAATAGAGGGATTATTTGTATAGTGGAGGTAGAATCATGCATTCCCCTGCTTGAGCCTATGGGTTATGGAACTGGAAAGGACTAAGAGACCAAGGAAGCCCCGAGCCATCCTCACAAGGAGGTATTTGACTTATGGATAAAGCTCAGGATGGCACCCCAGATACAGAGGTTCTCATCTCATCCTTTTCTCCTGACCAGTGGTTGGACACTGGCTTACTTTAGTTCATTTCTGGACACCCTGTGCCACAAAGCACAGGCCTGTGAGCACAGCTTCTGAGGCTTCGGAAACTGCTGCTATTGCAGACAGGGGTATTCAGTCTGCCTCATTGTCTGGGATGATGCTGAAAAAGGAGTATTGACTAATTAGTCTTGAGCGCTAATGGCTTCTTTGGGACAGTCCCTGTCTGCTGCTCTGGTTGCAGAAAGTATTGGAGGATATAAATATCCATCACTGTGGGTACATTGGGTGTCATTTACCAGACGTCCCTTTGCTTGGGACAGAGATAAGCTCTTTCCTCATTTCCCTACCAGGAGTGGGAAGCATCCACACGGTAGTGTTGAGGAGGTTCTGGTTCTGCCCTGTTGTTCCCCATGGTGAGCTATGCCCTCTCCTGCAGGCTGTCTTCGACTGCGTTGTGACATCCCTCAAGAACGTTTTCAACATCCTCATTGTCTACAAGCTCTTCATGTTCATCTTTGCTGTCATTGCTGTCCAGCTCTTCAAGGGGAAGTTTTTCTACTGCACGGACAGCTCTAAGGACACAGAGAAGGACTGCATGTATGTGCCCCGTGGGTCCAGTGTTGCTGACAGCTCTGGGAAAGGCAGGGTGCTGGGCAATGTTGCCTTTGGGTTCCCAGTACAGCCCTTGGTCATGACTTGCTCTTGGATGTAGTTTCTGAGGATGGACAGCTTGGGCTGAGTCCTATCTCATTGCTTTGTATCAGCCCGTGCAATGATGTAGAGCCCAGTATTTTCTTCTTACTCTTTCTTTTCTCCTCTCTCCGTGTCTCTGCTCCCCCTATCTGTCATCGAGCCTCTCCCCATTTCTTCAGCCCCACAGGAGTAGAGGTGCCCCCCCCCCCCCCAGCACATGCACTCCCCCAGGTATAGAACAACCCTCCTGTAGCCTGACACTAGCAAAGGTACTGCTCTCTTCCAACCTTGCAGAGGGAACTATGTGGACCATGAGAAGAACAAGATGGAGGTGAAGTGCCGGGAGTGGAAACGACATGAGTTTCACTATGACAATATAATCTGGGCGTTGCTCACCTTGTTCACAGTCTCCACTGGCGAGGGCTGGCCCCAGTGAGTATTTGCTTCATCCTCTTCCCTTGGATGGGTTGGGCATGACCCCATTGCCTTAGTTGGGTTAATAACTGGCTATATCCCAGCTGGAAGGAGAGAGAAACTGCTGCACAGTGGGAAGGAGAGGAAGGCTGAGAAATTAGGTCAGGACAAAAGAGCTTTATTCCCTAGATGAGACTGGGGACATGGCTGTGGTTAACTTCTTCATCCGAAATTGAATGATGGATTATCCCTGCTCCCTCATGGAGGTACATTCATTTTAGGTCATTTTTAGAAATGACTACAGGGCTAGCGCTCTCTCCATGCTCATGAGAGACTGGGAAACCTTTTTCTCTGTGTGAAGCTCTGAAAAATCCATTTTCCATCAAGGACATGGGCAAAGCACTGTGAAACAAGCTGAAGCCACTTGGAAGGGTTGTCCTTGTGAAGCTGGTTAAAGCAGTTTTATCTTATTGAGTGTGGATGGATGGAGATGGACGTGCAAGGGAGGTCCCATGAGAAGTGCTGGGTGGTGGCAGTCCTGATGGACACACTTCCCGTTGCTTTCCTCCACCTATCTGCCCACAGGGTGCTGCAGCATTCGGTGGACGTGACGGAGGAGGACCGTGGGCCCAGCCGCAGTAACCGCATGGAGATGTCCATTTTTTACGTTGTCTATTTTGTGGTCTTCCCTTTCTTCTTCGTCAACATTTTTGTGGCTCTCATCATCATCACATTCCAAGAGCAAGGAGACAAAATGATGGAGGAGTGCAGTCTGGAGAAGAATGAGGTACAGTCTAGGGAGGAAGAAGGATGTTTCTATGGGATTGCTACATTACCAGATGGAGTTCGGGAGCCTGGAGCTCCCCAGATGTTAAGAAGTCTGGCCACTGTCCCTATGTTACCATCAGCCAGGTAACTTTTTTGTCTTCCAGAGGGCCTGTATTGACTTTGCCATCAGTGCCAAGCCCCTCACACGCTACATGCCCCAGAACCGGCACACCTTCCAGTACCGGGTCTGGCACTTTGTGGTCTCCCCATCCTTTGAGTATACCATCATGGCCATGATTGCTTTGAACACTGTGGTGCTGATGATGAAGGTGAGCACGTCAGGGTGGGCTTGGTTAGGGTGGTGAGGAATAGAAGCATCAGTTGGGATGAGACCAGAGGGTATTTGGGTTATTTCTGTGAGATGCTTCTTCCTCAGAAGCAGGACCTGCTGTCCTGGGAGAGGGGTGGAGAGGGGAAGAAAGGGAATAAGGAGGTGTTAGATTAGATATTAGGCAGAAGTTTTTTACTCAAAGGGTGGTGAGGCGCTGGAAGAGTTTGCCCACAGAGGTTGTGGGTGCCCTGTCTCTGGAGGCATTCAAGGATAGGTTGGATGGGGTCCTGGGTAGACAGGTGTGGTGTCTGGTAACCCTGCCTATGGCAGGGGGGTTGGAACTAGAAGATCTTTAAGATCCCCTCCAACCTAAGCCATTCTGTGATTCTATGAGGTGATCTTGAGGCATCGGGGGCAAGGATCATGGCCATCACAGGTCCTCCCAGGGACAGACATCAGCCAAGGGCAATGTCTCTCTGTCTCCATTAGTACTACTCTGCTCCATACACCTATGAGCTGGCCCTGAAGTACCTGAACATCGCTTTCACCATGGTGTTCTCTTTGGAGTGCGTCCTTAAGATCATTGCTTTTGGCTTTCTGGTAAGTATCTGATCCCATTCTCAGCAAAGGTGTTAATTTGGACTTTGACAGCACGTTTCAGCTCTCTGATTCAGAGAGGGAAGGTGTTAATAATGTGAGATCAATGCTATCTATTCTGGGTCCCATCCTGAGAGCTGCTTGCAAGCTGGTGGTTGGAATTGCTCCTTTGGATCTTGTCTGGAAGGTCAAGAGAGACCTTCTGAGCTTCCCAAGCCAGCTGCCAGCACTGCTGTTGGACATGGAGTGTGTGTCCATAGAGATCAGTCCAGCTTGCAGTCAAAGCTTAGCACCCTGGACCATGGTCAGGCTGGGCTTCTTGGTGCCAGGCCAGCCTGGAGGGGTCTATGTGTATCCCAGCACCAATCAAGGCTCGCTGTCCCAGCCTCAAACACTCTCCTTCCTCCCACAGAATTATTTCCGGGACACCTGGAATATCTTTGATTTCATCACTGTCATTGGCAGCATCACAGAGATCATCCTGACGGACACCAAGGTGACTGGGCAGATTGGGTGCCATGTGCCCCTGGTGTGGGAGCCGGGGTGCTGCTGCCTCCCCCCTGACCCTCACCTCTTTTTCCTCTCAGCTGGTGAACACCAGCAGCTTCAACATGAGTTTCCTGAAGCTCTTCCGGGCGGCTCGGCTCATCAAGCTGCTGCGCCAGGGTTACACCATCCGCATCCTGCTGTGGACATTTGTGCAGTCCTTCAAGGTGAGGACTACACACACAAGGCTCCTCTTGGGCCTCAGTGTTGGCATGCTGCTCCTTGGCTCGTAGGAGAGGTGGATGGGCCTGGAGAGGTGTATACTCCCTGAGATGAAGCTGTGTAAGGAGATGACTCGTGCTTCTCTTGCAGGCTCTGCCCTATGTCTGCCTCCTAATCGCGATGCTTTTCTTCATCTATGCCATCATTGGGATGCAGGTGAGCACAGACAGATCAGCATGCTTCCTTGGGCACAGAGAAGCTGGAGAGACACATCCTCAGTGTTACAATCTTGCACAGCAGCCAGCCTGTCACTGCTTCATCGCTCTGGGTGCCCAGGAAGGTCCCAAGGGCAGCAAAGCTTGGTTAGGAGTCACATCACTGCATGCCCTGAGCTCCCTGCTTCCTCCCTACTTGTACCCGTGTGGGGATGTGGGGACTCAGCTGGGCAGCCTGTGCAGCAGCTGCTTCCCAATCACTCCCTCTTCATTCCATGGGTTTTCAAAATCATACCCAATCCCTGTCTCCCTGGTAGGAAGGATGTGGTGAGCATTGCTTCCCATCCCAACAGATGCATCGCCACACGGTCCCCTGCAGCCCATTCTTGCACACAGTGGTGGCCACACTGGTTGGGATCTCGAGCTCAGGGACCTGCAGCCTTTTGCAGAGCAGAGGTTCTGCACAGCATGGGGAGACGTGGGCTTCCCAGGCTCCAGCACAGGCACATGAGCACAGCTCTCACTCCAACACGTGCTCGCAGCACTGGCTCAGCAGCACGGTGACTAACACCCGTGCTGAGGATCTCACAAAGCATCTCTATTAGCACTCAGGATCTTCAGCTTGCCCGATGAGCAAGCCTCTGTGATAACAAAAGCAATCTCCTGCTGCTTGCTGTTAGGGAGGGGGGTGAAGCAGAATTTCAGAGCAGGTAGCGCATCGCTCGCTGCTTGGCAGCACTGCTGTATGGTCTCATCCTTCCCCAAGATTTTCTAGGCTGGTTTTGGCCTTTCCATCCCACACATCTCAGCACCGGCTCCAGGTGTTCTCCATGCTAAGCAACTGCCATCTGAGTCAGCCCCCTCCCTGCCGTGTGGTAGTATTGGATTTATTATTATTATTTTTTTTTTAAACATCATTGTGAACAAATCCCCAAGCAGTAAAGTCTGTGGGCGTTATTTGAGCAAAATAGCTGGAGGCAGAAAATATTCCACAATTACGCATTCCAAAAAACCCGTACAGGGGAAGAAATACTCTTGCAGTTAGAGTATTTTTAGGCTCAGGAAAAGTGGAATAAATATTTAACAGTAATAACAGCACATTTTTCCAATTTAAGGCACTTTGCAAACGTTCGCCGTGTCCTATCGTGGCCTTGGAGGTGGGTTGTTAGTAGGATGTTGCCTGGATTCGGGGCTTTGTCACCTCTCATGGCCCTGGAGACTTTCTGGTCTGGGGCAGGACTGGTGTTGCCTGAACCCTTTTTCCCCCCTGTAGGTTTTTGGCAACATCAAACTAGATGAGGAAAGCCACATCAACCGGCACAACAACTTCCGCAGCTTCCTGGGCTCCCTCATGCTCCTCTTCAGGTAAGAAGCTACAGGTTCGGGGGTTCAGGGCTCTACATCCTTCCCCGCTGCATCCTTCCCTGCTGCTGAGCGTGGCTGTGTTGGTGCAGGAGTGCCACCGGTGAGGCATGGCAGGAGATCATGCTCTCCTGCCTGGAAGGCAAGGGCTGTGAGCCAGACACGACGGCGACATCCGGGCAGAATGAGAACGAGCGCTGTGGCACCGACTTGGCCTACGTCTATTTTGTCTCCTTCATCTTCTTCTGCTCGTTCCTGGTGAGTTCCTTCACCTGGACACAGGGTCACCCTGGATGCCTTCATCCCACCTTCCCTGGGGTGCAGCCCCGCAGCCACCCAGCACCTTCCCTGAGGCTTTGGGGTTAGCACGTAGAGCGCACTGTGCCCTGCATCCCATTATAACCAAGATAGCTTCAATCCTGGAGCACCTGCTTCTCTAAAACAGCACCTGCTGTTTGTCTCAATTCCTTCTTTAATTCCATCTTCACATGACTTCCTTTTGTGCTCCCTTTACCCCACTTCCCTTTCTCTCTGCTTTTCTCCTTTTCACTTAGATGCTCAACCTGTTTGTGGCAGTCATCATGGACAATTTTGAGTACCTGACACGAGATTCCTCCATCCTGGGACCTCACCATCTAGATGAATTTGTCCGGATCTGGGCAGAGTATGACAGAGCAGCGTGGTATGTAGCCAGCTCCTACTCTCCCAAGCAGCTCTCTCCAATCTGGTTTTAAGTAGGTGTCTCTGCTTTCTGCTGTTGGAAACCACCTGGCTGGGATGCCTGGGGTGGTCCTGGCAGGACTGCTCTCATTCACAGACAATTACGTGGGCAGCAGCTGGTTCCTATGGTGCCTGGTGGCACAGGCACCTTAGGGGATATCCTGAAGATGTTCATGGTTGGCCATGGTGTTTACCCATGGTTCCTGCTGTCCCTCTCCTCCTCTATCATGCCACAGGCAGGTCCCTCTCTGCATCCTTCCTGGTCTCTGAACAAGTCGGGCTCTAGAGCCTGGTCCCCGGCACCCACAGCTCCCATCAAGTTGGAGTGGAGGGTGGCTTGTCCCCAGCCTGGAGAGATGCTGAATGTCTTCTGGGGTCCTGCTAGGTCACCAGGGAGTTGTGTAGGCTGGGACAGGCTCACTCTTATGCACCCACCCTACAGGAGATGGATGCACTTTGTTTCCTGCACTTACAGCTTTGCTGATGAGAACCCCAGTGAGCAAGGCTCCTGTTTGTAGGCAGCACCCTGTTCTCGGCAATGAGATGAGTCACACTAGTTGGTCAGGCTTTGGCTTTGGAGCAGCTCTGTGCTGCTCCTCCCATGATGGTGTGGAGCATCTCAAGAGCTGCGTGCAGCCCTCAGCAGAGCGGAGAACACTATGAAGGTGTGTTGTGTGGCCCCTTCTTCCCTCAGCCTTTTTGGAGCCATGTCCCAACACTGTGCCTGGGTGCTCTTAAATCAGGACCCTTGGCTGATTCACGTGCTCCTTAAGGAAGCATCACCTCTTCTGCTAATCTGCCTCTTGGGAATCCAGGAGGTTTTATAAGCCTAATATCACCTCCTGGCACAGTTTCCTGCACCATTTGTCTCCAGCTCCATTCAGTTCAGAGCTGGACAGGTTCCTCCCACGTGGCCTCTCACCAGTGCCCAGTGCTATTGCATAGGCAGGTGAGTTGGCTTGTGAGCAGGTGGCTGTGCCTTTGGGAAGGTGAGCATGGGTAGATACGCAGAGGAGATATGAGATGAAACATCCTCTGGTTGTTGTGGTGTTCCTTGCCTGTGGATATGGGAAAGGATTTCTTCACGCCAGCCACTCTCACCCCCATGTCGGTGTTTGGGTTCCAAGGGCAGTTGCTGCAGAAACCACTCTCTGATTTCTGAGCAAAGCAGGCTCTTTGTCATGACATGTAGCTGGCGGGTAGGGGCTGTGAGCAGATGGTGGTGTTGGGCCCACTGGGGCAGCCCTGACCCTCACTGTGGGGTGAAGAACAGGTGAGTACATCCCAGTGGGTCCCACCACCTGCGTGGGGCACAGCTCTGCACCCTGACACTGGGGATGTTTCAGGAAGGGTCTCAGGGGAGACTGTACAAGTCTTACACTAGGGAGGCTCAGGGACTGGTTTTGCCCACATGGTTGGCTTAGCTCTGGCCAGTGATGGGGACAAGAGAAGGAGAAACCTGAGGCAAAGGCACAGGGTAAGGTGGTAATGCTGCTCTTTGCCTCCCTGTATGGTTTCCCTCCAAGCTTGTCTAAGGATGCCCAGGAGGCTGCAGCACGCTGCACCTCAGCACGTCCACCCCACAGTCCTGCTTCCCAAAGGGCTCTGAGCTGAAGTGGGCTGAAGAGCTCAGCATCCCTGCGCTCGGTCCTGCCAGATCCCCACCTCGACTGCTTCCTTATTTCAGCAGTGATGGAGGGATATGGGCTGTATCCTGCCACTGCTACTGCTGGGTCTGTGTTTAGGGAAGAAGGGGGGGTGTGTGTGGGAGGGTTTGCTTCTAATAATGTGTACCCTTGGCAGAGCGTGGTCTGGTGATCAGAGCACAGGAACATACCACCAGAGACCTAGGTGCCAGTGCCAGAGCCACCGGCCACCAGCTGGTCACATTATCTCTCCCTGTCTCATGTTCCCCAGATACTGGAGATGCAATTGACTCAGCTGCCAACCTCTCTGGAAAGGACCAGAGGGTTCTGATGTGGGAGATGCAGCTCCACCAGAAGGGCTTGTGGTTGCTAGAACCCAATCAATATCTCCCTTCTAAAACCCCAGCTCTCTCCCACCATGTATAGATAGCCAGGATGCCAATGAGGAAGGGTGATGGGGTGGTGCCCACTGCCTACACCGTGTTTCTCCAGGGTCAGTGTGGGTCAGGGTGAGGAGGTGTGAGCTGACTCACGATGGAGAGGGCAGCAGCTGGAGCTCACAGCTCCCCCTCTCTGGGTCTGACAGAGCCAGAAGGAGAAGAGCCATGCACCCCTGGGGGTCTTACCCCACAGCTGGTCCTAGCCCCCTGGTGAAGCTCTCCACTCTTTCAGTGTCCTATTAACCCACCTGTGCTTCCTTTGCAGCGGCAGGATCTCGTATAAGGATATGTACAAATTAGTACGGGTGATCTCGCCTCCTCTGGGCCTAGGAGAGAACTGCCCCTACAGGGTGGCGTGCAAGGTTTGCCTCCCAGTCCTCCGCCACAACCTGGCCACGGGACGCACCATCCACCCTCCTTCCCCCCGCTCCGCCACCACCGCGCCTCCCGAGGGAACCCTCACGTTGCTTTCCTTTGAGTTTAAAGAGGTCCATGGCCTCCCAGAGCCAGCAGCTGTCCCCTCCGGGGAGCCCAGAGCCTCCCGGGGTGGGTTTTGACAAATTGTGCCAATCCCCCTTGCCCCATCAGCTCAGAGCCTCAGCTCGGTGGACATGTGCCACCGTCCCCCACTTGGCTCCTCCAGGTAGCATCCGTGGGAGCAGGGCTTTTTCTCTCCCCTGTTGGGGGCTCAGGTGTGGTTTACTGCTGGGGTTGGAGAGATGGGTGAAGGCAGAAGGGTGTCAGGGGCTCAGTTGCTTTGGAGAGGGAGGACTGGGAGACCAGAGTGACCTCGCTCCCTGTAGGACACCTGGGGACATGGTGCTGAGCATGACACACCGTGCTCTAAGCGTGATGTTCAGAGGATGCAGTTCAGATCTCAGTGATCGGGGGAGCTGTGCTCTTGCTCATCTTGCCCTTTGTTTGCTGGAGCTGCCAGAAGGAGGTGGCATCAGGGATCTTCTGGGGCCAGGCTGGCTCTGTGGTGGCCACCCCAGCCTGCTGTGCCCACAAGGACAGCAGCCACCCGTGCTCATTCCTGGTTCCTGCAGCTCAGCCATCCCTCTGCTCCAGGCAGCTTCTCAGCTGTAAGCCCAAAGGAGCAATATGACTTCCTTGTGCACCTGTGCACCTTCTTTTAGGTTGATTCTGAATGGCAACTGAGCATATCCTCACACCGCTGCCTTCTCCGAAGTGCCACAACACCCATGTCTGTGTCTGTGGCAGAAGAGGACGAATCACAGAGCTCTGTCTTTCCTCTTCATCCCTCACAGCATCTGAGGTGCACTCCCCAGGCTTTATCCTGCAAGGGAAGAGATTCCTCCGCATCCTCTCTGCTGTGTTTCCTCCAGCATCCCTGAAGTGGTTTTGTCACCCTCTGCAGATGCCCATAGGGATGATGCACACATCTGGAAGGCTAAGACCAGAAGCAAAGCAGAGGAAGCTAGACAAGCCTCAGGCACTCAGCTCGTTTATGAAGATGTGGTTGAGGGTTTTCTTGCAAGAATCTCAGACAGCTCATCCCTTCAAAGAGACAGTCCACAGTCTTTGCACACTTCTCTGTAGCATTCCTGGCAAAATGCTTTGGTCCTGCAAACAAAAGGCACCTGCAGATGAAATTCTGGCCTTTCTCAGTTGGCTACAGGGCTTCCCTGGGAAATTCTGCTCTCCTAAGCCAGAGCACCTGGTGCTTGCATGTGATGACCCCTTGTAGGAGGGAGATTTGTAGCTGTCGGGCTTTCTGCTGGCTCTGCGGGATGCACAGAGCAGTGGGGGTGGTGGGTAGAGATCCTTCTGGCCTTCTCTTCATTGTGCACCATCGTCTCCTCCCTGTGTATGGGGCATTTCAAGGACATGAGAGATTTCCTGAGATTCCTCCTGGCCTGAAACAGTTCCAAGAAGACAACTGGTAAAGAAAGAAACTCCATGTGGTCATTGTGTTTTGCTACCATGGTCCAGATCTCCAAATGTCAACCATCTTGCAGCTTGGGGATTCTGCCCGACACATCACAGTGCACAGGTTCGCCTTCCTGGAGGCATCCAGAGCCATCATTTTCAAAGGTGATGTATGAGAGCAAGCCTGCAGCCTTTCGTCACCAGGCCATTTGACAACAAATACTTGCAGAAACATGGCAAAGAAGTTTATGGAGTGGGAGACAGGATGCTATGGACGCGGTGGTCCAGCAACTTCAAGATGCTGTGTAGGGGTGCAGCATGGTATGGTAGGGAAGCTTATCTGCTGGGCCATCTGCAGGTGAGCTCACAAGATGCAAAAAGCCTTCCCGTGGAAATCCAGCAAGCTCTGTCCTTGTGCTGGGGAGAGCGGGTCTTGTAACTGCACCTCACTGGGAATGCACTCTGACAGTCAGCTTTGCTCCCTAGGGCTCTCTCTATAACTTTCTTCATCCCCTTCTACTTCTGGCAACCCATGCTGGAAACAGCTCTGGGAGCCATCCTGTCCAGATGGATAGCATTTTACATGCCTTCCTGTGCTCGGCTTCATGGGGATATGCTTCTGGGCACAGTTGTGCTGAGCAAAATGATATAAGATCTCTGCTCTGAGCAGATGCAATGTATGCAGCCTGTCTGTAAGAGCAGCACAGTTCTTGTGCAATATCTGCTGGCTTTTGATGCAAACTCTTGCTTTCATGGGAGTCCATTCCTCTCAGTACAAAAGGTGAAGTGTGACATATGCTGGGAGTGCTAAAATCCACTCTGCCAGGAAGGATGGGTTCAAGGTCACTATCTTGCTTCCTTGTTGCACAAAGCTTTTGAGCATGTGAATTCTGAAGTCGACATCTCACCTTCAGACACCTCAAGTCAGTGTACAGCCAGCTCTGCCATGGCACTGCTTATGGACTGCTGGATCTGGGTATTTTCGCTTGCCCATCTCATCCCTGCATTATTATCATCCTCTCTCCTGGCCTTTTAGATACGTCCGTCCCGCAAAAGGACAGCTTGTCCCACTGGCCGCCCACTGCAGGTGGTCATATCAGAAACATCAGAACTAACCTAGCAGGGACCTCTTTGGCCTGGGGCTGTTTCCACAGTGGCTGATGCCCTTGAGAAGAGGAGATACCTCCTCACTTTTCCTCTCACCATTGGGGTTGGGAAACAGCCAGCATCCCAGTGGCATCCTTCTCTCCCCAGCCACCTGTCTGAGCTGCGTTCCTCTCCATCCTCCTCCTGTCCTTGCCGTGATGGCCCCCATGCTACTGTTGCCCTTCTCCATCAGCCACCCCCCAGTGGAGCAGGTCAACAGCTTGGCATGAGGGGAAGAAGAGGTGGCCAAGCCCATCATCCCTGGGAAATGCACGTAGACATCCTCCTGGGTGTGCAGAGCCTGGCACAGGGAATTTCTGGTGACAGTGACCCTAGACTGGCCCTGGTAAAGAGGAGAAGCGAGAGGTGGGGCCTGTCCTAGCTGCCCCCCATGGGAAACCCAAACGAACCCCAATGTTGGAAGGCCCAAACAGCTGCCTCTGCTGAGACTCTTTAAACTCCAACCTGGTGGAACTTGCAGCCGCATGCGGGAGAGAGCCAGGGCGGGAGCATGGCATGCACAACTTTTTCCTCCTGATTTTATTTTTTCAGCCGATTCAGCATGCCTTTTGCACTGGTGCATGGTGGGAAGGCGGTCCATCCGCAGAGCCAGACGGAAGCAACTGGGCATCTTCCTTTGACAAGTGACCCTGGCCCACTGCCTTCTATGCAAGACGCTGCCTCCCAATTGCATAGACCTTATGAGATGGGGATACACAGCCTTCTGGCTATGGGTTAGGTGGCCACACAAAGCAACCCCCAGGCCCCCGGGAGGGAAGAACACGACGCAGGCCACTGAGTACATTGAGTCGCTGTGGTGCAAACCACCCGACCTCTAATAACCCATGGCTTGAGTGCCGTGTATCTGATTTATACCACTCGCACACAGCCCTGGAACCTTGTGGGACAAGGCGGGGGCTCCTGGAGGGCCGTAGGGACGGGGGTGAGGCAGGAGGAGGACTCCCGGGCTGCTGGCGAGGTGGGCATTTGAGGCCAGCAGCAGAGCGGGGTGAGTCGCTTTTCTGCCAGCATTCCTGGGTCTGTGTGAGCAGTGCTATAAATCCACATCAGGACAGTCTCTCGTGTATGATTTGCCTTGATTAACGGGTTTCCTGTTCTTTTCCTGTTTGTCCGTTTGTTTTTTCTCTCCTGTTTCCTGTACTATTTTGTTTGTACGTTTTTTCCGCTCTCTGGGAATGCCTCCTCTCTCTCTGCATCTCCCTCCCTTCCCTTCCCCCTCCATGAGCAGTGGCCGAATCCATTACACTGAGATGTATGAAATGCTGACTCTTATGTCACCACCGCTAGGCCTCGGCAAGAGATGTCCTTCCAAAGTGGCCTATAAGGTAGATCAACCCTTCCTTCTCTGGGGGCTTAGAGCCGAGCAGGAGCTGGTGGGTGGTGGGGCTGGGGGACCTGGGGTTTGCTGGAGGCTTCCAACCCATGGTGTGCCCAAAAGGGTGCTAGCCACACTGGCAGGTCTCTGCTGGCCTTGTCACTTGCAAACTTGGAGAGCTCTGGGGTGGAAGACCCCTGAGGGAAAGCAAGGAGAGGGGCAGCGGTAGGGCAAGTGTGGAGGTGGGAGGGCTGGCGACAAGGTGAGGAGTGGGTCTATAGCACTTTCAGGAGGGTGGCATGTCTCTAAGACATCTAGCCCAGGAGTTTAACCCCTGGGCTTGCAGCCACCCTTGTCCTAGCCAACTAAACCTCACAGAGATGGGAAGCAGGTGGGCAGCAAGGGTGCATCTTGCAGGAGCATCTCTGCAGCACATTGGCTTGAGACATTGCAGGGACATCTCGTGCTATGGGGATACCCAGGTGCCTCCAATAGGCAGCTGTGAGCTTTACAGGATGCCCAGGGAGCCCTGAAGGATGTGGGTTGGGAACAGCTAGGATGAGACCTGGAGCAATGCACTGCCCAGAATGGAGAGAGCTGGGCCTTCCCTCGGTAGCCGGTTGCTGTCCTTTCAGCAGTACTGGCAGAAATAAGGAGGGGATCTGTGTGCTTGCAAGCACACTGCAGCGCTTGTTATGTGCTTTCACATGCATATGCTCACCATAGGGTTGAAGGCAGGGAGAAGACATGAGAAGCTGGGGGGGAAGAGACTGGCAGGGAAGGGATGAGCCCAGGAGTTTGCAAAGCAAAATATACTCTCTGGAAAGTGGATCTGGTCACTTTGGTTTGCACCCCGCCTGCCCAGGGTGGGGAAGGAGCATGGCGTGTCTAACCTGCCTTGGTTGCCCTCCTCTCTTTCCTTCTGCACTTTTTTCTCCCCTTCCTTCCCTTCCCCACCCTTGGATAATTCGGACCCTGTGCATGTGCTGGCAAACTTCATCTCTGAAAGACGCAAAAAGGGGCGCCAGGATGTAGCATGCTAGAGGAATTGAGCCAATCCGAAGTCCCTGAAGGTTAGGGACCCTCCTCTCCCCTGCCCCAGGTGGGAAGGGTTGAGAGCTGGAAAGTCAAACCACCCAGGAACGGAGACTTGAGCCCCCTCTCCCCCTCCCCAGCACCTGCTGTTCCCTTGACGGGTCAGACTTTCACAAAGTGCTGGGAGGTGGCCCATTGTCAGACTCTTTTTTGGGGAGGGGGCCCAGGGGCCGTTCCTAGGGTGCAGGAGGAGCCCTGGAAGGCAGTGAGCCGGTGTCCTGGGGTGGAAGGAGCGGGGGGGGGGGGGGGGCGGGGGTGATCCTTGCCCTTCTTTTTTGGCTGTGCTGTTTTGACACTCTTTGTTGCTTTTTATATTATTTCATTTTAATTTAATTTAATTTTTTTTTTTTCCTTTTATTTAACATTTAATTTATTTTCCTCCAGCCTGGTCGATGTGTTTTTCGATATTGTTTTCCGTCCGCTGTTTTCTTCTCTCTCTTGCGCAGAGACTGGTGCTGATGAACATGCCCGTGGCTGAGGACATGACCGTCCATTTCACCTCCACCCTGATGGCGTTGATACGCACCGCCCTGGACATCAAAATTGCCAAAGGTAATGGCACTGGGGTTGGGAATGGGCAGAGCAGGTTTTGGAGCAGTCCTGTTGCCGTCATGGCCAAACTGGGGTTGAGTCTGGCATGTGGATGGAAGTGATTGATCCAAGCAAGCAAATTTCTGCCGCTCGTAAGGAGCAGGATTGCATTTATGTAGGGAAGAGGTGGCCAGTTTTCCACTAGATGCTGCTCCTAGAGCAAAGCCTGCTTGACATCCGCTGTGTGAAAGAGGAGAAGGAGAATTCCCGTTTCTCCTCAAGTAGAAAGACAAACCAAGGAGGGAGACACATCACGTGTGCCTGGCTCCAAAGACTGAGGAGCAGAAATCTATCTCGCAGTGAGCACAACATGTTCAGAGCAGAAAAAACGTTTTTTTGTTGTTGTTGTTGTTGCTGGAAACACTCTGATTCATCAGATCAAAAGCTTTCTGCGGAAACATGCCACTTTCAAATTGTCCCCTGGGAAGAGTTCAGAAAGCCCAACCCAGGCAAGATCAGCAGGAGCCCGGCACTGCCTGCATCATGAAACATCAGGTTTGAGCCCTTTCTGGATAAAGCAGAAATTTGAAGCTGGCCAAATTCCCTTGCCCAGAGGCACCCAAGACTCTGTTTGGTGTGTGTTAATGGCTGACTTTGAGTCTGGCTCTTCCACAGCTCAGTGGATTCCTTCGCTGCTGGCCAAAGAGCTCTGCTCTGCTTTAAGGACTTCAGCCAAGCAGAGATGCTCTTTCACCAGCACATGATCTGCTCCCCAGCAAAAAGAAAGTGGGGCAGCAGCAGGTGTGTGTGGGCTGGAGTAGGATTGGAGCGGCAGAGACGGACCCAAGGCGAGCTCGAAGATGGCAGCTTTGAGTGGGAGGGCAGGGGATGGGAGATGGTGGCACATATGGAGGGAATGGTGGGAAAGTTTCCCTGCAAGAGCAGGAGAGCAGGCTGCACGATGGAACGTGGCTCTCCCAGCCCCAAGAGCTGGGTGCTGCTCATCTCTGTGAGTGAACCTCACTGACGTGGTGCCTTTAGATGGATGCCAAGTCTTGATGTACATAGGCTGCTTTTTTCCTTGCTGTTCAAGGTGGTGCAGATTGGCAGCAGTTAGACTCTGAGCTTCAAAAGGAGATCCTGACCATTTGGCCTCACCTGTCCCAGAAGATGCTCGACCTGTTGGTACCCATGCCAAAAAGTGAGTCTCTGTATGGATCATGACCACTGCCAAATTCTCATTGCACCTACAGCAGTGTCTTCCTGCTGGGAGATGGGGACCAGTCAGAATACCCCAGATGGGGAAGAGCTGGAAAGAGAATTTGTGCTGCTATAAGGCTTGCTCATGGGAGCCCTTTGGGGAAACACCCAGTTCACAGAGGAGGTCTCCTGTAAGTCATTCTGGAGCACACAGGAGCGGCAAGCTGAGCATTGTGAATCACAGAATCACAGAACGGTTGAGGTTGGAAAGGACCTCTGGAGGTCACATGGTCCAAACTCATTGCTCTCAGGCACGATTAGTCTGTTGATGTGGTGAGGATATGCATTTTTGTGGTTTGTTATGGTTCCTGCCACCTCCATCCATTTCATCTCCTCTCATGTACCTAAATGTTCAACTCTTTCACTGCCTCAGTGGTGAGAAGTTTGTGGGTGATCAGGGCATCCCACAGCTGGGCTCTTCCTGAGATCAGTGCTGATGCCTTCAGATCTGCTATTTCTATTGACACAAAAGCATCCCTTCTTCCTTCTCTTCTCATGCCCTCAGCCTCTGACCTGACTGTTGGCAAAATATATGCAGCCATGATGATTATGGATTACTACAAGCAGAGCAAGGCGAAGAAACAGAGGCAGCAGCTGGAGGAGCAGGTGAGGGTCAGGGAGGGCATGTGGTGCTCAGGATGGGTTTTTTTGGAGCACCTCACAGAGACAGCGTGCTTCATATCACACCCTGACCTGACACCTGTCCAGCCCCCAGCTGGCTGGGGAGCCAAAATGAGGGTGTCCAAGGGGCTCTTGGCTCGTGAGGCGCTGGCTTTCAACAGGTGCTGCCCATCCCTTGGTGCATATTGGGTTTTGTTGGCTACAGACGTGCATCCTCAGCCTCTGACAGTGAATACGAGCGCACCCTCACCTTCCCATGCTTTCTAGTTAAAGAGCTGGACTGTGTTTCATACAGCCTCAGCTTCTTCATTTGTTCCCCTCAGAAAAACGCACCCATGTTCCAGCGCATGGAGCCATCCTCTTTGCCACAGGAAATCATCTCCAATGCAAAGGCTCTGCCTTACCTCCAGCAGGACACTCTCACAGGGCTGTGAGTATTGCCTCGACAAGGGGTGAGGTTTTCCTGCAGCTTCTCTGTTTCTGGAAGGGGGAATGGGCACTGCCTTAGCTCTCCAAGGAGCATGGTGGTTGTATTGGGGATCTCTGTATCGGGGCTGAGCATGGGGACCCATGGATGTTGCAAGTGACAGCAACACCTGATTTGTGCCCACCCACCCTGAAGCCAGACCGTTGTTGCAGGAGCAGCCGGAGCGGGTTCCCCTCGCTGAGCCCACTCTCACCACAGGAGATCTTCCAGCTGGCGTGCATGGATCCAGCCCAGGGGCAGTTCCAGGAGCACCAGTCTCTGGTAAAGCCACACGCTGCCTGCTGGGCACTGCCTGTGCTCCCAGAAGGATGCTGGTGGGTGTGGGGAGGTGTGGGACCATCGTTGTGTTTGAATCCGGCCCCTCAGCTCTTGCAGACAGGACTGCGAGCACGGTCCGATGCTCTGCAGTAAAACATCCTTCTTTTTGCAGGCTGCTCTTTTTTTTCCCCGAGCGCTCATTTCAGTGGGTTACCCCGTGCTGAGCGATGGTATCTGATGTTTTTGGATTCATGTCCATTTTATTGTCAGTGCTGGTGTCCCCGACCCAAACCATCACCACAGGGTACACCCCTTCAGCCTTGCACACATGCCAGCAGTAGTGTCCATGTGTGTGTGTGCATCTATACACGTATTTCTTTCTCCGTGTCTGTGTGTGTGCAGCCACGCACTGCCACAGTGCCTGTTGGGTACCACTGTGCATCTCCAGCCCGGTCTGTGTCCCCGTGCTCTGTCACACTCCGTGAGCTGTGTACCACGCACATGTGCAGTCCCTGTCCCTTCTGCAACCCCCCCCTAAATCCGACATTTAGGGGTCCTGTGCCCTGTTCCCCTAAATCAGGAATTGGGAAAGGAAGTCAAGCCTAGGTGGCTGGGCTGATCCAAGCAATGTTTGCACTGCCAGCACTGAAGGAACGAGGTGTGAGGTGGACTTGGACATGAGGTGAGCCTGAAGTCCCATACCTGAGCTCACCTGGTTTGGAAAATGGACGTCAATTTGAGTGGCTACAAGGCTGTGATCTCTCCCAGACTTCCCTGTTGGCCCTCTTAAAACCCACCTCAGGCTGCCTGTCCTCTATGAGGAGTAGTGCCCAACTGTGCCCTGACCCCATCCCAAGAGCGTGGCTGTGTGTTTGTTTCCAGGAGCCAGAGGTTAGGGAGTTTCAAAGAGTGCAGCCCTCTAACCGTGGCAGCTACCTTCCCGTGGACACTCAGGACCATGTTGTCTCTGGGAGGGCCTCCTCCATGCCTCGTCTCACTGTGGATCCCCAGGTAAAACCAAGCAAAGCTCCCATGGGTGCCGGGTCCAAGCAAAGCCTACCAGGTAACGCTGGTGATAAAACCTTCTGAGCCCCACAGCTCCCCAGAGCACCATTGGGGTGCTCCACAAGGAGGAGAGCTGCTGTCCCATGTGTGGTGGGAACCAGCAGTGCAGAGCAGCCAAAGGAATTGCTCACTTGCTCTTGGAGCAGGATCATGCTGGGACACCGCAGGGAACCGATATGATGGGACAACGTCTTTTCCTCCATCTCAGACACTGGCTGAGATGTAAAGAGTCCCTGCTCGGATGCGAAGTGATGTGTCCCAGAGAATGAAACGCCTTCTCCTTGTGTCCCCTTGTCCCATCACACGTGCTTGTCTGCATGTGTCTGCGGACAGTCTGTCTGGGTGAGCACAGGCCACATTTCACCTCGTTTGTCTGGCTGGTTTCTCTGTTGTTCTGTCTTGTATTCAGCCTCAACTGAGACACACAAGGTTTTCTGGGGTTTGATTTCACAATGCATCCCTGTGAAATCTCCAGGTCTGGTTCTTCAAAGGGATGTTGGTACAGCTTGGCACAGGGAAGCTTTGCCTCATGGAATTCAACTGTCTGGGAGATGGTTGGGAATAAAGGAGGGGAGGAGACGGGAGAAGGACCTGAAGCTGGAGAAGCAAAAAGCTGCTAAAGCAAAGTGGAAGGAAATTCATAAGATGGTCAGAGGTCTGGAGCACCTCTCCTAAGCTGAGGGAGCTGGGCTTGTTCAGCCTGGAGATGATAAGGCTCCAGGGAGACCTCATTGTGGCCTTCCAGTACTTGAAGGAAGCTTATAAGCAGAAGGGGACTGAGTTCCTACATGGTCTGATAGTGATAGGATAAGGGGGAATTGCTTTAAACTAAAAGAGGGGAGATTTAGGTGGGATGTTAGGAGGAAATTCTTCACTCAGAGTGGGGAGGTGCCAGCACTGGCGCCCAGAGCTGTGGGTGCCCCATCCCTGGAGGTTCCCCAGGCCATGGATGGGCCCTGGGCAACCTGAGCTGGGGGAAGCCAGCCCATGGCAGGGGGGAGCTGGCAGGGCTTTAAGGTCCCTTCCAACCCAACCATTCAGTGATTCTATCAAGGGGATGATGTTTTCCAAAAAGCGTTTGAGATCACAAGCTGGAAGGAATGGAGAAGGTAGGAAGGAGGAGTGAGGAAGACGAGTGATAAAATGGCATTGTGAGCAGGGAGAGAGGGACTGAGTGCAGGGAAAAGGGGACATGAGGATAAAAGAGGACAGGCGAGGGGTCTGAAAGTGCTGAGAAAATAACCACTGAGTGAGGAGTACTGGAGAGATGGATGAGACTGCTCTCTCATCATGATTTTTCCTGCAGTGCCCCCATTTGCTCTGCTGGTCTTGTTCCCAAGGTGGGAGGGATGCTGTGGCAGCTTTGGGGCCATGGTTCGGTATCCACACTATCACCGTACCATGGGCAGGATGCAGCTGCTCCCCCTCTGGCTCCCAGAGCTTTGAGCTACGCTCGGGCACTTTGCTGGCAGCGCTCTTCAGCCAGACTCACTTTCTTTCTGCCCCTGATTTGTGGCAAGATCATTTAGGGGGGAGTGCCCAGGTTGAGCACTGCTAAACCTCAAGGTGCTAAGGAGCTCATGGCGGGAGCAGCGGTGGGGCTGTGGCCAGAGCATCCCATCATCATCTGGCTGGGTCGTTGCAGGTGGTGACGGACACCAGCTCGATGCGGCGGTCGTTTTCCACCATCCGGGACAAACGCACCAACACCTCCTGGCTGGATGAGTTCTCCATGGAGCGCAGCAGCGACAACACCTACAAGTCCCGCCGGCGCAGCTACCACTCCTCGCTCCAGCTCTCTGCCCGTCGCCTCAACGCTGACTCAGGTGAATGAGAACCCCTTCCGTCTCTAAAAATCAACTCGGTGTTGTCCTTCCTTGTCGCCACCACGGGGACGTGGAGCAAGGGACCAATGGGCTTTGCTGCAGGCCACAGGTCCGAGGGGCACCGCTCGGGTGGCAGGGAGCGGGGCCGATCCAAAGAGCGCAAGCACTTGCTGTCCCCTGACATCTCCCGCTGCAACTCAGAGGAGAGGAGTCCCCAGGCACACGATGAGTCTCCAGAGCGGCGGCGCGAGTCCCGGTCCCCCAGCGAGGGCAGGTCACAAACGCCCAACAGGCAGGTGGGTGGAAAAATCTTTCTTAAGTGCAAAGGGATGCTTGGTAATGGCCTCAAGTTGTGCCAGGGGAGGTTCAAGTCGAATACGAAGAAAAGGTTATTTTCAGAGAGACCAGCAGGGCACTGATGGTGGAATCACTGTCCCTGGAGGTGTTACAGAACCGTGGAGATGTGGCACTGAGGGACGTGGTCACTGGTGGTGGTGGGCTGGGGTTGGATCTTAGAGGTCTTTTCCAACCATAATGGTTCCATGATTCCGTGCTGGGGGCTTTGTAATGGCTCTTCTCCCAGTGGTGCGTACAGTCAACAAATGTGCAGTTAGCAGAGTGGCGTGGTTAAGATGGTATTTTACAGGTTGTTTAATTAGAAAGATTATTGTGGTGGAAAGCGATAATCAAAGATAAAGGAAATGCTCACCCATGTCCTAGGCTTGCAGTAGAAAATTCCAAAAGGAACGATCTTCAGAAAGAGATCCTTCCCAAGTGGCAGTCAGCCCTTAAATGGGGTCTAGGAGAGATGGAGCCAGGCTTCACTCCTTCCAGTCACACAGCTGAATTGCCTTCACCTTTGCTCCCACGGATGACTCAGTGCTTGCCTCAGGTGATCAATCAGAGGTTCAGGCCCTGACTCATAGTTCCCATACAGGTGGCATCTCTTCTTGTCCCCTGTGAGAATGAGAATAGTATTGTTGGCTTGATGGTGCCTGGTGTGCCTCACAGTGTCTTTGGAGAGAGGGGATGTCACCACGTAGGTTCTGGTGCCTCTGGAGCTGGTTTCACTGGCACCTGCTCTCTGCCAAAGCTGAGGAGTCTCAGCTGCACAAGCTGGAGATGCTCAAAGTTGCTGGTAGCTCAAAGATATGCTACCAGCGAAGAGAACGGCAGCTAAAGAGCACTTAGCTCTTCCCACTGCAAGCTTGCAATGCCCTGCTCTGGTTGGTCACGTTACACAAAAAGCTTTCTGCGTGTTGCCACCACAAGCAGAGCTCAGACCCCGTGTCTCTTTGCAGGGAACGGGCTCCCTGAGTGAAAGCTCCATCCCCTCCATCTCGGACACCAGCACACCCCGGCGAGGCCGCCGCCAGCTCCCACCGGTGCCCCCAAAACCACGTCCCCTCCTCTCCTACGCCTCCATGCTGCGGCACGCCGCCGGAGACGCCTCACCACCTCCCGACGAGACCGAAGGGGGGTCCCCGCTCCTCTCCAAGGAGCCCAACGCCGCCGGCCTGACCGAGTCTTCCAGCTCCCCAGCGGGGAAGCCGAGCCGGCCATCCACCCCGCAGCGTTACATCTCGGAGCCCTACCTGGCCCTGCACGACGACTCGCACGCCTCGGACTGCGGCGAGGAGGAGACGCTCACCTTCGAGGCGGCCGTGGCCACCAGCCTGGGTCGTTCCAACACCATTGGCTCAGCCCCACCGCTGCGGCACAGCTGGCAGATGCCCAACGGGCACTACCGGAGGCGGAGGCGAGGGGCTGGGCAGGGTGTGATGTGCGGGGCCAGCATAGATGTGCTCAGCGACACCGAGGAAGATGACAAGTGCTAGAGGCTGTGTCCCCATCGCTGCCGCCCCGCCGCCCTGCCCTCTCCAATGCATGCTCTTCGCCACGCCTGGGAATGAAATGAAACCAAAACCAAACGCAAAGGGGGAAGTTAAAAAAAAAAAAAACAAACACAACAAAAACGAAACAAACAAACAAACAAAAAACCATGAACACAAAAAACACGACAAAAAAAAAAAAGAAGAAGAAGAAGAAGAAGAAAACCCAACTGACCAGAATGGGGAAACAACAACAAAAAAGTCTTTGTGAAAAAAAAAAAAAAAAAAAAAAAAAAAAAAAAAAATTAAAACCTGTCGACTTTCATTTATTACGATCACTTTTTTTTTCTGCACAGAGAAGTATTTGGCCAGAGGTGGAGAGGCCTGGCTGGGGGCAATGAGAGCACCCAGCTGCAGTGAGAGGCACTCGGGGATGCCCGAGCAGGACCTGGCAGCGCTCTTGATGCTGCTTTTGTGCTCCCCATGGCCAGAGCATCCCAGCACGGGGGTTCTGTGCTTGGGTTTGTGCTGCCCTGGCTTTGAGTTTCCCTCTGTAAGGGTCTCATGCTGGCCCAGGGAAGGGGTGAGGTGTGGGGTCTGGGGGCACAGCGCAGATAGCAGCAGCTCTGCCTTCCCAGGGGGCCAAGCCAAAGCCAACTGGTTTGTACTGGGGTGGGTGGAAGCAGCGGGGGAAGGGGGGGCTCAGTGCTGCCAATGTACCCCACCTCGCATTGATATAGCTGTATTTCTATAAGGAGAACTCTAGGTGTGCCTGTGTGTGTATATACGGTATGTGTGTGTATATATATTTATATGCTGTATATATAAAGATATACACATACATGGATTTGTTTTAGTCATCTGACCAAGCCCCGGCGGGGTTCACTGGATGCAATAGAGAAGCAGGGACGTCCCCATGCCCCCAAGGCATTCACAGCAGTGGGAATCGCATTTTCTGCCTTAGTGGTGGCCTGGCAACCCGGTAACCTACTGCTCCCCACTGACAGATGCTTTGGGCACACGCAGCCCCGCTCCTGCATGTGCAGATCAGCCCCTGCCCGACTGCTCATAGAGCTCCCCCAGAGCAAATCCTGCCAGTTCCAAAAGGTCAGGCTCTATTGTGAACCAAAACCCTTTTTCTAATGGCTAATGCTTGCCCCTAGAAATAGGTTCCACTGATGGAACCAAACCTCCAACCAGTCCTGCTGGCCCCATGCAAGCTTCTTGCCTTCTGAGCAGACAGCTGCAGCTGCTGTATGTCCTCTAAATTTAGGCGCCGGCATTGTCTCCTCCCACATGCAGCAGGGTGTCCCACGGAGCAGCCCCAGGGCTGGGGAGTTGGCAGCTCCTTGTGTCTTCATTGGGTGAAAGGATGGATTTGGGGATTTGGGCATTTGCATTTCTCGGACCCAGAATGGGGTCGATGCATAGTGATGCTTTGCAGAGTTTCCTAGCAAACCATGTTAAACAAGGCAGGCTTTTGCAACCCAGAGCTTTTGGGGTCGGGGGTGGGGGTGCGTGCTGCTGTGACTGCTGGTGGCAGAGCCAAGAAGAAGAGGACGAGGACATGGCATCACACCAATGGGTGCTGAGACGTTGATGGTCTGAACTCAAGCTTTGCTGCCTAGGACCCCTGTTTTACTGACACGTGGGATACATTTGTATGAGCAAAGCAGCCTGGTTTTCTTTTTTAGGGGGCAGCACAAAAGTGCTCCTATCTGGCCTTTCCCATAGCAGCTCCCACAGCAGACAGGGACTGCAGGGCCATAGAGGCTGCGAAATCAAAACCAACTCTGGCAGGGCTGCGGGAAGGACTGCACCAAGGGGGTGAGGAACAGCCCCCATGCACCACTGCAGCATCCCTCTTCTGAAGTCACTGGACTCATGTTGCTGCTGCACAATATCTCTCTTCCCTGGCTTTTTGGACGTTCCTTTCTCCTCCAAGACTCAAGATCTGCCATCAGCGTTTGTTGTGAGCATAGGAGGGGAGACAGGAGGTTCCCCCCAAAAAGGTGTTGGGCAGGCTGAGGCAGGGGGAGGGGGCGGGATGCTGTACTGCAGTGTGCTCGCTCAGACCCACCGTGGAGCCGAGCCGACGGGCGGCCGTGTACAACTTCCATGTTTTTTGTCAAAAAGAAAGAAAAATAAAACCTTGTTGTAAAGAACCCCCCCTGCTTTGGCTCTTTCTCGTGCAGGTGCTGTTGCCTGGTCCAAAGCCTCCGGGTGAGTTGTCAAGGGAAGAAGCTGAAGTCAGGGCTTGTGCTTCTCCTGCACAGAGCTGTTGGGAGCGCAGCAAGTTTCCAGGCTGCCAGCAGCCTGCGGCAGGCTGCAGGCTAGTTGTGGGTGATGGCTGTGCTGCGTGGCTTTGCAGCAGGGCTCTTGTTTTATTGTGGGTGCTGCACCAAGAAGGGCTCAGGGAAGGATTGGGGCAACTGCTGTGCTCACCTGGGCCACCTCAACGTGAGCCTACCCCAACCAAAGCAATGAGGGGAAGAGGAGCTCAGCCCTAGCAAGGGAACCTGGTGCTGCAAAGCAGGAGCCTCTGCTGCTAGGGAGGCAATGCTCTGCCTGGCAGGCATGGAGGCTAAAAAAAAACCTTGACAAATGGAACAGAAAGGTTAAAATTATCTGTACATCATCTGAATAACAATGGCAATGCAGATTGTACCTGCTGAGAATAGCTTCAGGAGACGGGATAAATTGGGAACTGGTGGGGGAACTGGGGGGTGCTCCTGCTTGCAGGGATGTGGGGACACAGACACTACTGGAAATGAAATGTGACCTCTGGGTGCTGTCCTCCACCCTGCAAAGCCAAAGGAAAGAGCAGGGTGCATCTCTCAGTGCACCAAAACCCTGTCCTGCTGGCAGGGATGTCTCAGAATCATGGCATGCCTGTCCCTGACTGCCCTGGTTGCTGGTGCTTTGTGAGCTGCAGCGAGCTTTTCCCAAGCAGCTTGGAGGGGAGATGCCGGGGGTGGTTCTCGTCCCCCCCTTCCCTTTTTGTTCCTCCGATGGCACTTACAAGTGTGCTCTTCGGGTGTTGAGGATGTGTGTGGGATTTGAAGTGGGGCTGCGCTTACTCATGCTGAGAGCCACGTGGCATAGCAGGATGGCAGTGCTGGTTGCTCCTTGGGTGAGCATTCTTCCGTGGGTGAGCATCCCCCTTCATGGGCAGGCACCCCCCTCCGTGGGTGAGCGTCCCACCCAGGTGTTAGCATCCTCCACAACGAGCACATGCAACTGCTGCTCCTCCTTTGAATTGCCCAACCTGGTTCAGCGCCTCTCTTTTTTCATTCATTTGATGTATTTATGCCAGATCCCACGTGAGCAGGCAAAATACGACAGGCTACCTGGGAATTGGTCTCTGGTACACAGTGCCTGCAGGAAACACTTTGGGAGCCCCTTTTTGGGTCAGCTTGGGCGTTATAGGTGGCAGTGGGAGAGAGGGAGGATGGGAGCCACCTCTCCTATGGGCTTGCATTGCCTCAGTGAAGTGACAAAATCCTTATAAATGAATGCATAACACATTAATTGCTCCCCTTCCCAGCTGGCATCCTCCTGGCTGAGCTGCACTGAGGGCTTGGACACAATGCTGCCAGCAGAGGTACTGGTACCACTGGGATAGCAGAAGAGTGGTGGATGTGCAGCAATTTGCTGGAGCCAGACCTGATCCAGATGCTTTGTATGAGCGCTCCCTCCCACGTTTCTTCCTCCCCCCCCCCGGGACCCAGTCAGTCAATTTATGGAGCAATCTGCCATAGATGATGCGATTTGCAGATTGATTTTCACAGATCTGCTTCACGAGCATAGTGAATGATGTGTTTTTTTTGCCTTTCCAAAATGGGAGGAGTAGAGGAAGGAAATAATCCAAGGGCTTTACCTCCTGGTGGAGTTCAGCCCTCTGCTCAGCGCTGCAGGCAGAGCCTGGTGCCTGGGCTGCAGAAGTATCAGAGTGGCCTTGCACACGGCCTGATAATTTACTTCAGGTATAAAAGAAGCTTAAAACACAGCGCCATCACACTGTTTAAAATACTTTTTCAGAGGATGAGTTTCATGGACACAGATGTAATTTTTGGAGAGCCTGTCCCAGCTTGAGCTCCTCTGGCATGTGATGTTACACCCCAGCAGCACATCTCACCTCCTTTCACAGCTTGCAGCACGTCTGGAAGTCAGCAGGAGCTGTGCAGAGGCAATGCCAATCAGCAATCCCCCCTTCTTCACCCTTGGGGAGCAGCGTCTTGCACCTCACAGCAGGAGTGAGAGCAGAGGGGTGCAATGGGGTGCCATGCAAAGGGCACAGACCTGGAGCTGGTTGGGTTGCAAAGCGTTGATATTGCAGAAGAAGAGCATTTCCAGGAGAAAACAGCATGCTGCTCTCAGGCTTTCTGCATTTTGTCTCCTTTTTGTGCTGGAGAAGGAGCTGCCACCCATACAGAGGTTCTCAGTGCTGGCCCCCAGCTTGGGGCCTGCTCCCAGCTGCACAGGATAAGTGCACTGCAGGTGTGTGGCATGAGCCTCTTAAACAGCCCTGAGCAGCTCTCCCTGTTTTTTCCTGGAGAAGGAGTAGGTATGGGGTTGTTTCTTTGTCTGGATGGATGTGTGGCATTGCTGTTCCTGCTCACAGGTGGGAAAACTGAGGCATGGGGGTTATGGGAATGAAGCTGCATTTCCTGGGGGTGGGTGGGTGGTGTGTCAGCTGTTGCTGTGCTCCCTAATGCTTTCCCTTGCACAAAGCAATTCACTGCCTTGCTTAGCTGGCTGTTGGTGCTGTGCCTGTGGGGCTGACCACTCTGACCAGCCTCTGTGCTGAGGGAAGAGTATTAAGCACTATTTTTGGCTGCAAATGAGTACAACTCCAGTGAATTAACTTTGAGATGTTATTACTGGCTGTAGGAGTGGGTCAGGTTTCAGCCTGGGAAGGAAGCGGAGAAGTGATGGTCTGCAATCATTCCTCTTAACTGCAATGAGGGCAGAGGCACAGTGAGTGCTGTGGTTGGGAGGAGGCCACCCTGCAAGCAGGAGTGATCAGGGGGCTCTGGCCCTTCTCTTAGCAGCACAGTCTGACTTCACCTGGGAAATGAGAGGCAGGGAGGGCTGGA